CTATGTAACAGCCCTGGGTGGGTCATGTTCCCAATTTGATAGGTGAGGGTTAGGAGTTTTTTTTTTTTTCAAGGGAATAGCTCATGATTTTAGTTTGTGTCCGAAGTTAATCTGAGGTTGTGGATATATTAATACTTTGGAGAATCTGGTTTTTAGTAGTTTTACCAGTTCGTTTACTCAGTATTTCTCAATTTGGGAGCACTACTGACATTGTGTAATGGGACAATTCTTTGTCGTGGAGGGCTGTGGATTCTGCAGGTATTTTTCATTCTTGGTTTTCCTTCCATGTCATTGTAATCACCCCCAAATGTCACCACATTTTTAAACTAGCTTCTCTCCTGGTTAAGAGTCACTGAATATATGAAAGATTTTAAGTGTTCTAAGGTGTTCATGTTTACATATCCAGAGACCGGTGTGGCCAAAGTGATATAAAATATTTGAATCTTTGATAAGAATTGCTTGGTCTGACTACTGGTCTCTAATGGTGTGTTTTCATAGTTCAAAATGTTTCAGTCTCGTGGTTAAGGCAGTTTGTGTGCTTATTATCTACTTGGTCAGTTTTTCCCATAAGTTGACTTTTCACACTATTTGGGTTAGTTTTTCCTTCAGGTTGACTAGCTCGAATATAATTTCTCAAAGGGTGGTGACCTGAAGACTACAATATTGCAGAATGTTGGTGTACCCTTTCTTTGCGTGGTTTCTGTTGTGGTTTTCTGACTGCAGGCATTTTGGAATGATGGTTTTTTTAGAAAATTTATGATTTCTAGGGCCTTCTATTGATGATATGCTATAAGATCATTTGGTTTTTGCCTTTTCATTACACGTTCTTTTTGTGCAGTCACAACTATTCTTTCTTTCAGCAAGAAAGTTTAGAGAGACAAGAAGTTTAAAGCTAGTAGATAGGAAACATTCCTCACTCATTCTGGCCTATGTTACCTTTGATTAAGTGCTCTTAAACTGCTGTAAGAGAGAAAGTGACACTGACCAGGAAGATCTGGGAAAGTGTAAGGTGACATTTCAATTTTCTTTTCTGATTATAATGAAAGCAGTGTCTGGGTAGCTCTAATATTCAGAGGATTGTAGGAAATTCCAGCCAATTGGATTTACTCCATACCTCTGCTGAACTCTTAGATATGGAAATAGAAATCTGAAAGAAGAGGTTGGATATTGTAGAATGTGTTAAGAATTGCAGTTGGTATGGGATGGTGGCAGGAGCAAAAGGAATATAGAGAAGAAATCAAATTTTAGGCTGATTATGAATACAGCTATTAATAGTTGGGTTGTCTGGAAGATAATCATCTGTGTCATGGAAAAGTTTTCCATCCCCTGTCTTCCACCTACCAACTACTACTTAGACTTGCTACTCCCTTCACCTGCAGTGGAATCTGGTTTCCTTCCCCCATTCCTCCCTTTTCTGGGCCTATCTGTGCTTGTTCTGAGGGTCAGCCTAGCACCCAGTCTAAAACAGGTGCTTCTGAGTTACCTTAGAACCTTTTTTTATGGCATTGATTACCTCTCTCTAAGATTCTGCAGGACAGGGACTCAAGGTATTCAACTTTGTGTCACTTATCAAAAATTAGAGTGGATAATGACTACTAGGGCTTAAACATTTACTTAGTTCTCTTATTGATACACTTGTGCCTTTCTAGTTCAGAAGTTTGTTAATAGTAGTTCTTAAATTTCTTATGCATTTACCATTATTTAATTTACTACTGCCTGTTTGCTTCAAAAGATGGTTTAGGGGTGGGAATCTGCCAGATTACTTTCCTCAGGTCAGCAAAGAATTTATTCTGTCCTTGCATTCACTCAACATATACTTAGCTCTAGCACCATCTTTGTGTCCAATACTCTTGGCTGCTAAAGAGTAAAAATACAACAGTTAATACTGAACATTTAAAATGTTTTAGGGCCCAGCACTGTGGCTTACACCTGTAATCTCAGCACTTAGGGGGGCTGAGGCAGGAGGATCACTTAAGGCCAGGAGTTTGAGACCATCCTGGGCAATGTAATGAGATCCGTTCTCTATAAAAAAGTTAAAAACATTAGCCCATTGTGGTGGCACAGGCCTGTGGTGCCAGCTACTCAGGTGCCTGAGGCAGGAGGATTGCTTGAGCCCAAGAGGTTGAGGTTACAGTGAGCTATCGTGGTGCCACTTTAGCCTGGGTGACAGAGCAAGACCCTGTCTCTAAAAATAAATAATGTGGTCGGGTATGTTGGCTCATGCCTGTAATCCCAGCCCTTTGGGAGGCTGAGGCTGACTAATCACCTGAGGTCAGGAGTTCAAGACCAGCCTGGCCACATGGCGAAGCCCCGCCTCTACTAAAAATACAAAAGTTAGCCAGGTGTGGCGGGTGCCTGTAATCCCAGCTACTGGGAGGCTGAGGCAGGAGAACTGCTTGAACCCAGGAGGTGGAGGTTGCAGTGAGCCAAGGTCACGCCACTGCACTCTAGCCTAGGTGAAAGAGCGAGACTCCATCTCAAAAAATAAATAATAAAAGTTTTAAGTACCTTACAAAATAGTGTGTATGTTAACTCATTTAGTCCTCTGACCACTCAATATTATTATTAGCCTTATTTTGCAGATTAAATCCAATAAGTGATGAAAATGGAATGCAGAACCCTTACACTGAGATGTACAAGTGGCAAAAACAAGGAAAATTGAGAAATAATATTTTAGACAATCTTCAAGTTAAATATCTTGTATTAATCTGTAGATTTTAATGCATTGGTTGGAGGCTTTTTTTTTTTTTCTTTTTTTTTGCCATGAGGTTTTTCTTCCCCCAAGAGAAATGTGTTTAATAGCTTAAAAAAAAAAAAAAAATTCTCATGGCAGAGAGAGAAAATGTTAGGTTCAAAGGTATTTAATTGCTGAAAAGGAGGAGGCAGTCTTTTGAGCCACTAGGTGGAGCCTGAACACAACAGAGAGTAAAGTAGAATTGAGCCACCTTGGCAGCAATGCCAGAACTGATAGTCATGCACCACATAATGACTGCATACACAACAGTCATGCACCAGTGATGGACGGCATATACAACAGTGATCCCATAAGATTATAATAAGGCTGAAAAGTTCCTTTTCTGTGTTTAGATAAAACACCATTGTTTTACAGTTGCCTACCGTATTCAGTAACATGATGTACAGGTTTGTAGTCTAGGGGCAATAGGGTATATAACATAGCCTAGGTGTGTAGTGGGATACCCATCTAGGTTTTTCTTTTGTTTGTTTGGTTTTTTTTTTTTTTTTGACACGGAGTCTTGCTGTGTCCCACAAGCTGGAGTGCAGTGGCCAGATCTCGGCTCACTGCAAGCTCAGCCTCCTGAGTAACTGGGACTACAGGCACCTGCCATCACGCCCAGCTAACTTTTTGTATTTTTGGTAGAAACAGTTTCACTGTGTTAGCCAGGATGGTCTCAATCTCTTGACCTCGTGATCCACCCGCCTCAGTCTCCCAAAGTGCTGGGATTACAGGTGTGAGCCACCGTGCCCGGCCCCATCTAAGTTTTTCTAAGTGCACTCTGATGTTCACACAATGATGAAATGACCTAACGTGACATTTCTCAGATCGTATCCCATCATTAAGTGATGCATGACTACCTCAAAAGTAATGTCAACCCAAACCAGTATTACTTCCTAATGAAAACTTGTGTTTTCAGGGTCAAATGGATTACTCAAATGTAATATAAACTAAAGGTTTAATACTTTGAATCAAAACTTCTATACCCAGAAAGAATCATGATTTTCAGATAAAGTCGAGGCCTAGGAGATGGTCTTCCAATTCTCCTGCACTGTCCCTTAAGGGGACATTCTAATGGAAATACTTGTCTTTAAATATGTAAACATAAGCTTATTCAACATGTCTTGTTTGTAAAGCATCATTTGGACTCTAAAATACAGTGACTTCCATGGAAAGGATGTCATTTTGGCTATCTTCGTTTCTTATTGAAGCTCCCACTTAGGGTGTTTCTTGCTATAAGTTCCTTCTTGAGTTGATAAAGTTGAAGTCTTTGGCCCTATTCTCACTTCTCTATTTTCTCAATTTAGGTATATCCTTTTAGAACATTTCCTATACTTACATATACATATTTACATGTCTTTGAACAACTAGTGACATTTTTATTTTTTTTAATTTTCAGGAATGGTGTGCTAAACATTTTGTCATTCTTTTAAAAGTCATTTTTGTTTTGAGTTTGACCATGTATTTGTGTAGATGTAGCACATTCTTGTACATGTGGTGGTGTATTTCTGTGGTATGGATTACACCAGAGTTTATCAGTTTCCCTTCTGATGATGTTTAAGTTGTTCCTTGTTTTTTGCTTTTACAGAGTCTAGTGACATTCTTATACAGGTCTCTTTGTATGTATGTGCTGAAATCATCTAGTTAGATAACTGAGTGCAGTTGCTAGATTTACAGGGTTGTGTGCATTTTCAGTTTTATGAGATGTCAATAGACTTACTCTACAAAGAGTGCCATTTACATTCTTTTTTTTTTTTTTTTTTGAGATGGAGTCTCACTCTGTTGCCCAGGCTGGAGTGCAGTGGCTGGATCTCAGCTCACTGCAAGCTCCGCCTCCTGGGTTTACGCCATTCTCCTGCCTCAGCCTCCTGAGTAGCTGGGACTACAGGCGCCCACCACCTTGCTCGGCTAGTTTTTTGTATTTTTTAGTAGAGACGGGGTTTCATAGGGTTAGCCAGGATGGTCTCGATCTCCTGACCTCGTGATCCGCCCGTCTCGGCCTCCCAAAGTGCTGGGATTACAGGCTTGAGCCACCGTGCCCGGCTCCATTTACATTCTTAGAAGAGCCTCACATTTCCACATCCTTACCAACACTTGTTAAAAAAAATCCTCATTTTTGCTAAGCCGATGGATGAAAAATGGTATTGTTTTAACCTGCATTTTCCTGATTACTAATGAGATTCAGCATTTTTTTCATAGGCATATTGGCCATTTCTCATATATAGATATCTTCCATTTAAAGTTAAACTAAGAATTTTGCACTGAATACCATTCTCTGAAGTGGTAAACTTTAATATTGTATAAAAAATCCAACTTGTTCACAAGTACATGTCGTATGATTTTATGCATACATCCATATACATATATCAAGGTAAAGTCCAATACAAAAAAACAGCATTTCCTATGGCCAGTGTTCTACAGAAGTAAGACTGTGCAAACTTTATCGTATAGTCAAATGAGATTGCAACACTAAGGCAGGACGAGGCAGAAGCAAGTTGTGTCCACAGTATATTACAAAATGCCTTGCATAGCTTATCATTCTCACCTGGTAAATTCATCTTAGAATTCTGAAGGATTTTTTTCCTAGATAAATTTATGCAAGTTAATGTCTACTTCTTGTCTTTGTTCTATGGCAAACCAGCTTTCTCAGTACTGATTGTTTTACTTCACAACATTATTGATTTAACAATAGCCTGCGCTTTGGGGCTCTGCACTGCTTTCATTGTAATCCTTGATACAATGACTACAAACGTGTCGCGATTTCTAATCTTCATCTGTATCTCAGGCGATTTTCCAGGGCTTCCATTCTCTGTGTCATTTCTTCTAGTAAATCTCAAATTAAGGAAGATGAAGAATTGTCTTTTTATTTACATTTAAATATAACTTGATTTATCCATGTAAAATTTTGGCTTCTGAAATAGAAAAGGTTTTGGGTTTTTTTCCCCCATTTCTGTCGAGTATTTTAAAACCCTGACTTGTAAATTTATAGAACTCATTTAACATTTCTGTTAAGATAAATATTTTGCGTTTTTTTAAAAAACATCATCAAAGCCAGATAGCTCAGTGTGAATTTGTCTTTTTAATTTTAATTTTATTTATTTTTGGTTTTTTTTCCTTCTCTTTTTTTGAGACAGAGTTTCACTCTTGTTGCCCAGGCTGGAGTGCAATGGTGCGATCTTGGCTCACTGCAACCTCCACCTCCAGGATTCAAGTGATTCTCCTGCCTCAGCCTCCCGAGTAGCTGGGATTACAGGCATGTGCCACCACGCCCGGCTAATTTTGTTGTATTTTTAGTAGAGACAGGGTTTCTCCACGTTGGCCAAGCTAGTCTCGAACTCCCCACCTCAGGTAATCTGCCTGCCTCGGCCTCCCAAAGTGCTAGGATTACAGGCGTGAGCCACTGCGCCCAGCCTTATTTATTTTATTAATTTTTAGAGACAAGGCCTCCCTATGTTGCCCAGGCTGATCGCGAACTCCTGAGCTCAAGCAAGGCCACCTTGGCCTCCCAGAGTGCTAGGATTACAGGTGTGAGCCACAGCACCCAGCTGCAGTCTTTTTTTTTTTTTTAAATTGTAATTCCACTTCCACCCTTAATGCTTGTAAATTAGTTTGCCATAGCACACTGCTAGGAGCCAGAATTGATAATATTGAGAATGTGGTGAAGAGAAGACAATGAAAGAATTCAACCTTGGAAAGTAAGATACGAAGTCAGAAGCAAAGGGAGATAGGGAGTTTTCACCATGATGCCACATAAGGCCACAGTTTTGAGGAATTCTGACCTATGTAAAAATATACCTTCTTTAGTCTCTTGTGAGTAGAACTTTGGGGTGGGACAGGCAAGCGAGAGGAAAGGGGCATTAGAATAGGTATTGGTCTACCCTGTAAGCTCCTCAATACCCTCTGTCTGCCCACTTGAGGGCAGAATGAGAGCCCAGATTCGTCAATGTATATTAACCACTCTCAGGAAGATTATTTCATTTTACTTTAGGGAGCATATTTCCAACTTTCAGAAATGGAATTGCTCTATGCTGTTGTTCCTTATTACATAAGCCCATTGGCACAGAGAGAGATAGTTCAGAATTAAGCCATTTCCCTATAGACTAGTTGATGCACTTGAGATATCAGACAGCTTTAGTACGCTTACTGTAATTTTAAGTTTAGAGCATTTGGCAGGGTGTTCAATATGCAAAAGCACTGAATCCTCTTTTCTTTATTATCACCAAGCATTCCTTTCATTTGTAATATTGTTTTAATGAATCACTGGATCCTGCTGTTCCCTTGGTGGAATGTTTCATTTTTTTAGAGTGCTGATAAGAGAAGATCTCTGCTGCCAAGGAAAAAAAAAACCACCCCTGTCCTCCAGAAACTACACACACTGAATCCGTATGTGGCTGTGGTGTTCCTTTGGGCTAAAGGAAAAGTTTGGAGTTTAGACTGAGTTTGAAACCTCCTCATTCTACAACATTCTTTGCCTATACTTGCTGTACCTTTGATGCACTTCAGACCTCATTCATGTCCTACATACCCTCCTAGCAGAGAGGGAGTTAGGTCAGTCTCTTTTCCTTACTTTGTATGCTGACTGACAGGCCTTCTTGCTAAGCCCCCTAGAAGGGCCGATGGCAACTAAGTGCTTGACTGTTGCTACTAAGCTTGGCTTGCCCTTGGCTCTCAAACACCTGTCAGGCTGCTTTTTAAAGCAAAAAGCCTTTCCTGGAGTTCACTGTTCTTCGTGACTTCACGGGATTGACTTCAGTTGATAAAACCTACATAGAGTGTGTGTGAAGTTTTGATAATATTCTTTGCATTCCATACAGAAGCCTAATACAAGAAAAGGATATAGCGCTGTGTTAATTTTCTTACTTCTTCGTTTGCAAGGTTCTGGAACATTATAAGGTTTTCGCATTTGCATTGATGGTGTTTTTCTTCCAACGGGCTTCCTGAGAAAGCAGATGGAAAGTGTTCACCTCTAGAATCCACCAGACTTCCCAGACACATAATAATAGGAATGAATCAGCATATGGAGGAAACCATAATGAAAGACATGTTCCACTTTTTCCATGCAGCCAGATCCAGTAAAGTAATACCAGGAAAGCACTGTATATGCTTCCAACACTGGAAGTGGCCCTCACTGTGGATTATTGAGGAACACTGCTCCAGTTTCTTTTAGTTTATGTTTCAGTTCTCATTTTACTTAAGTTCGTTCTTCTCTTTTCCTCTATACCATTTCCTACTTCCTTCTTTCCTTCTAAGCTAAGGTTGTTGGCAAGCTGAAAGGCTGAAATTATCTTATAGTAATATTTTACTTTGAATTACCTGAAGGTTTTGTTGAATGAGAAAGCTTTTGTGTAGACCGTAAAAGATTGTCTTCTTCAAACAGGTATCTGTGTTGCACTGCAAAATTAGAACAGGAAAGTAGGTCTCGGATATTTATGGTGACTGGCTCAGATTCTGTAAAGAGAAAGAAAACTGCAATCAAACCTGCTTAACGCTTTTGGTTATAAAACAGCCATCAGCAGAGTAAGGTACTTGGTATTCCTAGCACTTGGTGCCGAGCTTTACTTTGGGACATACTGAAGCAAAAAGACTGTTACCTTCAGTGGAGTAAACATCGTTATTAAAAAAAAAATAAAAAAACAGCAAAAAACCAAAAACAGCCAGGCGCAGTGGCTCATGCCTGTAATCCCAGCACTTTGGGAGGCCAAAGTGGGTGGATCACTTGAGGTCAGGAGTTCAAGACCAGCCTGGCCAACATGGTAAAACCCTGTCTCTACTAAAAATACAAAACTAGCCAGGCATGGTGGCAGGCGCCTGTAGTCCCAGCTACTCGGGAGGCTGGGGCAGGAGAATCACTTGAGCCCAGGAGGTGGAGGTTGCAGTGAGCCAAAATTGTACCACTGCACTCCAGCCTGGGCAACAGAATGAAACTCTGTCTCAAAACAACAACAACAACAAAAACATTGTCACCTGAAACAATGCTAGTTACCAAATATGGCTTAATGTAAGAGTAAAAGTTAACTATCTTTTTGAGGGAAAAAAGGCCTTAATTATCATAATTTGAACATACTTACATTCACTTCTTCACAAGTTTTATCTGGAGGGAAACCATGGTAGAAGCACCCACCAACATTTCTAAAAACACTGCCTTAAAAACTGTACCTGTTGGCTGTTGGACCCTTTTTGGCAGTTCCCCTGCTGGAGAGTCCTGTCTTCCATCGGAGTCTTCTAGAGCTGAGCAGAAAAAGATGACCAAAAGGAGTGACGGTTGTCCACAGGCATGTGTGTGTTCTTCAGGAAGCTGGTCCCAGACCACCTCCTTACCTACCTGCCATAACCTAAGGTCTTTTGGTTTTGTTTGGTAACACCAAAGATTCAAAAAAGCAGTTGATTACCATGATACCTATGACCACTCTAGGGCAATTCTCTCTCGTAAGAGAAGCTTGGACCCCTTGAGTACATCTTACTTAAGAATGCTCCCAAAAAGGTCATGTCTAGAAAGTAGGGCAAAAAAAAAGGTGAAGTTGTTGAGGGATTTTAGTTGCACTGGCAGCAGCTCTACTTGAGGCATTTCAACTTGAATGAAACAATCAAGAGGCAAAACATTCTCTACTCACAGAAATCTGAAAGACCTTCCCTCCCTGTTACCCCTCATCTCAAGAGTTCTTTCCCTAGAGGGGTAAGACACAGCACCTAGACTAGGATCTAACTGCTGAACCGGGGATATGATTACAAGGAAAAATGGGCAGAACTGCTATCCGTAAGCATACCTGGCACACTTAGTAAACTGGAGAAAAGCATGCATAACAAAAATCTAAAGTCTAAAGGGCAGTCTAATATTCTGTAAACAAATAGTCCACGCAGAAAGGCATTAATTTTAACAGTGGGCTTGGAAGAACTATGTCCCTTTCCACTTCAATTATAGGTATGTTCTGAAATTGCACCTCAGCTCTCCTGATTTATATAATAATTGATTTTTAGTTAAATGATCATTTCTCTAGGGTGTTTGTGAGGATGAAGCATGCTGGTATGTCAAAACACTTATTACACTGCTTGGCGCAGAGCAAGGGCTCAAACAATGGTAGCTATTATTTTTTTCTTTCCCACCTCCCCTGTTCCCATCTTTTTTTTTTTTTTTTTTTGAGACAGGGTCTTGCTTTGTCACCCAGGTTGGAGTGCAGTGGCGCAATCATGGCTCACTGAAGCCATGACCTCCAGGGCGCAAACGATCCTCCCTCCTCAGTCTCCCAAGTAGCTGAGACTACAGGTGTGTGCCATCATGCCTAGCTAATTTAAAATTTTTTTTTCAGAGACTTTGTTTCCTAAAGGGTTTTACTTTTGTTGCCCAAACTGGTCTTGAACTCCTGGACTCAAGCAATCCTCCCACCGCAGCCTCCCAAAATGCTTGGGTTACAGGTGGGAGCCATGGTGCCCAGCCCTTCTTTTTGTACTGTTTCTAGGCATTGCTGGTCCTGCCCATGAAGGAGACACTTTTTTTGGTTGAGAATTTATCAGTAAAGGGTTTGTATGGGCCGGACATGGTGGCTTACGCTCGTAATCCCAGCACTTTGGGAGGTTGTGGTGGGTGGACCACTTGAGGTCAGGAGTTCGAGACCAGCCTGGCCAACATGGTGAAACCTCATCTCTACTAAAAATACAAAAATTAGCTGGGTGTGGTGGTGGGTGCCTGTAATCCCAGCTTCTCGGGAGGCTGAAGCATGAGAATCACTTGAAACCAGGAGGCGGAGGTTGTGGTGAGCTGAGATTGTGCCACTGCACTCCAGCTTGGGTGACAGAGTGAGACTCCATCTCAAAAAAAAAAAAAAAAAAAGAGTTCATGCTGCCCTGTCTGCGAAGGTCTTTGCGTAAGCTTAGTACCTTCACAGATGCCTTTCTTGAGTTTTTCACTTATCTCATCCATTGTGCTGAAGTCTTCAGCATAGAAGAGATGCTTGTCTGTTGGCTCAGAGGCAATCTCTTGTAGTTCCTCCTCAATGGCTTTTCCTACCCCAACAGCATACATAGTGATACCTAGGGTGCAGGAAAAATTAAGAGGAAGGTAGTTAGAGTTGTGTTCCCAGGGTCTGGAAGTTGTGTGTACTGCACCCAAAGCCAGTTAGATGTTAAGTGGTGTGATTTGAAAGGTCCATGCCAACCTTCCTTTTTATTTTTCTACCATTTTAATTTTTGTCCTATGAGCAAAAGGGAGGGATCCAAGAGAGAAGTGAGGCATCTGGGAGATGCTGGGGAGCTAAACTACTAACCTGTTTCTCAGCTCTGGGCTGGGCTATTTAACGAATCTGCAACTTCCCTCTGAATTAGCCTTCTGGATTCATAGAAGTGAGCACTATTTTATGGCTTGCTAAATGGGAATCTCTTCTGGAAGAATTCTAAGAATCAAGTCAATTTATGACCTAATAACCTAGTTTCTACTCAAAGCTACAGGACAGGAAATGTAAGTGACCTGAGGCCAAGTGAAGCTGCTTTTTGCCCACTTCTCTTAAGATGACACAACCTTGGGAGGAAGTGCTAAGCTGAAAAGGAGAATCTGCAGACCACTGGAAACCCCTAAAGTCAGGAAAAAGAACAAACCCAAGATCAGCCTTAAATTTCAACAGGGATATGCGTTTGCGTCAAAAGCTTTTCTTACACTGATCATTAGACTCCCTTCCCCTATATACTCTTCATTTGAAAGTAAAACACAATAAGAATATGTTCTGCTTGAGTCCAAACATTTTTCAGCACTGATAACTTATTCTAGCTAATTTATTAGACTAGATTCTTAAAAATGTACTTAAAAATGGCTCAAGACAAGGGGCAAGAGTTATGATGCCTTGTTCTGAGTCTGTGTAAGGTCAATAACCAAGTTCAGCATATTTGTCCAGGGGCCCAGTGATTTTACGCATAACTTCCTAAAAAGGATAACTACTATTTTAAGATTCTGTTTGCTATACATAAGAGTAGTTAAATTCATAAGAGGATGCCACCTCATATAAATCTTGTTGATTCAAGAATCAAATAAACATCAGTTTCTCCTACCACCTATCTTTGGGTGATGTGTAGAGACATTTAAATGGAGCAAAGGGTAAGGTAGATTAGTTTCAGTGAGATGAAAGTGCTAACCACTGTCTCTGGAGACCAAGATGCTTCCCCTAATTCTTTTTAAGAATGCAGACTAGGGGGCCTATGAGTTTGACATGAGCTCTAGCAATCTAGGCTAGTGTGAACAGCCAGTTTTACAATCTACCCAGATGATTCAGGGCAGGACAATTTGTGGCTACCACTCTCGGGCTAGAAAAAGGGGAAGGTATGCAGTGTCAATAAAATGACCTCCTTCACAAAGACAGCAAGTGAATGTCAATGTGAACCAGCCTTTCTGTGAGGAGGAATGGAGTTCACCAATGGGACTGCCAGTACTCTCACTCCTTTCTTCATTCACTCAGCAAGTAGTTGTCACACATCTACTATGTGCCAGGCCTGATCTAGGCCCTGGGTCCATAAAGTCCTGGATGAGGCCTTGATCTGTGCATACCTTATTTCCTCTTACAGGACTTGCTAAAGCAGTGTGTCCTCAACAAGTACTTTAGGAAGGCAGTTTTTGGCCGGGCGCAGTGGCTCACATCTGTAATCCCAGCACTTTGTGGGGCTGAGGCGGGCGGATCACAAGGTCAGGAGATGGAGACCATCCTGGCTAACATGGTGATACCCCGTCTCTACTAAAAATACAAAAATTAGCTGGGTGTGGTGGCGGGCGCCTGTAGTCCCAGCTACTCGGGAGGCTGAGGCAGGAGAATGGCATGAACCCAGGAGGCGGAGTTTGCAGTGAGCTGAGATCGCGCCACTGTACTCCAGCCTGGGTAACAGAGCGAGACACCGTCTCAAAAAAAAAAAAAACAGAGAGGAAAAAAAAGGCAGTTTTTAAACAAACTACTTCACTACTTCAACTTTTCTTACCTCCGTCAAGGAATCTAGAAACTTCACCATAAACTGTCTCTACCAATCATCCTAGCTTCTGGGTTTCCTTTAGCCAAGGGTCATACTCCTCAAGCACGCTTCACATCTGTGCAACTGAAGTTACCCTCAGGTCAGCAAAACCCAGAGAAGAGGCTGGGCTTTACTGAGCAACAAGAGCTTAGAGTCATAATCTCTTCCATCATCTGATTTTCTGAAAAGCTAAATTTGCCTCCTGCAAACACAAGAGTATTATCCATCCTAAGGCTATTGCATTTTCAGAATGTTCGCTTGAAGTATTGGTTAAAAAATACAAGAATATATATACATAATCAGTAAAAGTTCCCATCAGAAACAATTTAACAAGCTCTTCAGTTGATTCTAGAGCAACCAGACCAGTGTTTTGGAACTATTGTATATATGTCTGTGGTTGAATAGCATGTTCTAGGTGATTCTCACACTGGAGATCACACACTGGCTAGTAAATCAGAGGGAGAGGATACCCGCCTGTGGTCAGCTTAGCCTAACCTTCTAGTCACCAGACTCCTTCCTGAGCACTTTATTTAACTCCTGTGGGGTCCACTTTATTTAAGGCCTCTAGGTGGCAGGGTAGTAAAGATGTATAATGGCAGTTGCCAGGAGGCCTTTCTGCATACTCAAAGAAGCTTACCCCTATGGCCAGCAGAGACCACTGAGTGAGTTTAAGAAACCTGAACCTTGAGTGGTGTAAACCGCACCTCCACCCCATATTACCATTGGCCTTGGCTTTACTGGCCCACTCGGAGACGTCATCCTGAGCCCGTCCGTCGGTGAACACGATGGCTGCTCTGGGCACCCTTGTGGAAAGGGGCCTGGCCCCTTCTCCTTGGGTAAAACTTCTCTCAAACATGTGTTTCAGGGCCAGCCCAGTCATAGAGCCCTTTCCCATGTATTTCATGTGGGCCACGGCTTTTTTCATGTCTTTGGCTGAGTTGAAGTTTCTCAGGGTAAACTCTGTGCGGACCTGCGTGGAATACTGGAGCAGCCCCACTCGAGCGGCTTTGGGGGAAATCGTCAAGGAATCTATAATTCCAGTGACAAACTGCTTCACGACCTCAAAATTCTCTTCTCCAAGACTCTTGGATCCATCGATCACAAAGACCAGGTCAATTGGGCCTTCAGTGCATTCTATAAAAGGAAAGTTGATTAAAAAAAAATGATAAAAAATCATTTATGCACAAGAGTAGAATAAAATGATGCTTCAATTGGAGGCATAACCACTTTGGGGAACCAGTTTTCTTCTTCTTTAGATAATACACAGGACAGATGAGGTGTTGGGAGGGCCACAAGCAACAATAATTTTCACATATACTTTTATGGTTGGCTTGTCATATTGATAAAAATAGTATTTTTCACAAGCAAAATGGCAGATGTACAATTGTCTAGGAAACCAAATCTATATTGTACCCTGGAACACTGACAGGTCTGGGAGGAGCTGGGTGTAGAGTACACTGAAGGGTCTAACAATACCCAAAAGACTCCCAGACCTTTACTCCAGGAGGGTGACGTCACCCTAGTGCTGGCATTCTGACAGTCAATGGAGAAAGAGATTTCTTCAGCTCAGCCATCACCTCTGCCAGGGAGCCTTCCTTGTAACTCAGTTTGTATTGCTTTCTATATACCCCTAACACTACTAATTTATTCAACCAAAAAGTTATTGAGGACCTGCTTTGTACAAGGCAGTGGACGTAGCAGGATTGCAATAGTGACCAAGACACAATCCCTGACACCAAGTTGCATACAATCTAATGTACTCTATATAGTGTTCCACATTGTACAATAATTATTTAATGATGTGTTTCCTCCTCCAGTCTGTGAGTTCCTCTTCAGCAGGGACTGTGTTTCATTCATTTTTGTGCCCCATCCCCTAATACTTGGCACAAAAAAGGTGTTCAGTAAATGTGTGGTGACAGACTAAGTGAATGAGGTGATGTTCATTGGGTAGCACACGTGTAAGTACCCTACTGACCTATTAAAGCTGACAAAATAATTATTAGCTTTGGTGCGGTGGCTCACACCTATAATCCCCAGCACTTTGGGAGGCGGAGGCAGGAGGATGGCTTGAGCACAGGAGTTCAAGAACACCCTAGGCAACAGAGTGACTGTCTCTCTTAAAAAAAGAAAAATTAGCTGGGCTAAAAAATTAGCTGGTAATGCATGCCTGTAGCCCTAGCTACTTGGGAGGCTGAGGCAGAAGGATTACTGGAGCCCAAGAATTATAGGTTGCAGTGAGCTATGATTGTGCCACTGCACTCCAGTCCGGGTGACAGAGCAAGACCCTGCGTCTCTCTGTAAAAAAATAACAAAAAATTATCACCATAAATTCTTTACATGGAAACTTTTCAGGCTTTTTTTTTTTTTTTAAAGATGGAGTCTTGCTGTTGCCCAGGCTGGAGTACAATGGTGTGATCTTGGCTCACTGCAACCTCCATTTCCTGGGTTCAAGTGATTCTCCTGCTTCAGCCTCCCGAGTAGCTGGGATTACAGGCACACGCTACCACACCTGGCTAGTTTTTTTGTATTTTTAGTAGAGACGAGATTTTGCCATGTTGGCTAGGCTGGTCTTGAACTCCTGACCTCAGGTGATTCACCCGTCTCAGCCTCCCAAAGTTCTGGGATTACAGGCATGAGCCACTGTGCCCGGTCTCAGGCAACTATTAATAGATGGTTGATAGTAAGACAGAAATAAAAGCTTTATGTTAAGCAATTTGGGTATGGAGAGGCTTTTTGTTATTCAGGACTGCAAAAGAAAAATGGACAGATCCAAAATGGATTATCTCATTTCTTCTTCTTTTTCTTTTTAGAGACAGCGTCTTGCTGTGTCGCCCAGGCTAGAGTATAATGGCGCTTTCTCAGCTTACTGCAACCTCTGCCTCCTGGGTTCAAGCGATTCTCCTGCCTCAGCCTCCCAAGTAGCTGGGATTACAGGCACATGCCACCACGCCTGGCTAATTTTTGTATTTTTAGTAGAGACGGGGTTTCATGATCTTGGCCAAGCTGGTTTCGAACTCCTGACCTTGTGATCCACCCGCCTTGGCCTCCAAGGTGTTGGGATTACAGGTGTAAGCCACTGCGTTGGGCCAGATGATCTCATTTCAAACAATCCACAATCTGTGATAAACATTCTGTTTTATATATCAAGCAACTGTTTAATCTTTCAAAGTGAGGCACAACAATATAAGCATGTAAAGACACACACATGCAAAACCATTTCTGTGCTTGGCCAGTATAACATGCTTAATGTCAGAGAGAGAGAGTGTGTGTGTGTGTGTGTGTGTGTGAGAGAGAGAGAGAGAGAGAGAGAGAGAGAGAGAGCATGTTGGAGGTTTGGGTTCTTCTGTTTCTCCATTAAGTGCTTTTCCTCATCACTCAACCTGTCGATCTTTTATTAGTGAAAGAGGAAAAGGCCAACTCAAAGCTTCATTTACATTCCATAGTCTGTTCCTAAGTGAACCAAAAAAAGACTCAGGCAGCATGCATGTGGCTCTTCAGCAGATTTCAAAAATACTGAAATAATTTTCCAGCAGTGAGTCTGTTTTCTCCTCTTTTCTGTACACATTTTTCTTACAGAACAAAACTAGCACTTGCAACCCCCACACACAGAATGGGGTCCAGAAGCCTTCTCCAGGGAACACAAAACAAGGCAGAGTGGAAAAACATCAGGGAAAGCAGGGCCCGCGTATTTGCTTTCAGACACAGAAAGGACAGCCCCACTTGTTAGCTATTTTTTTGCCAGAGGGTAATTCCCACTTTTCTTGGGCATTTTCTTTTTGATAGTTAAGTTGATAAGACTGGAACGGAGCTGTGACTTGCTTTCAGAACATAATTTTCAGAAAAGTTCTAGAACTTCAGGCATGGATAAGCCCTTTAAAGATCATCTACTCCAGCCTCGCTGTTGCTTACATCTTCTTTTCAACATCCCCACCCAGTGACCATTCGGCCTGGGCCTCAACGCCTCTCCTGTTGAGGAATTGTCACCTTACCACTGAAGCCCCATTTTGGACATTTCTGCTGTTGATGATTACAATAGTGATCATTTTGTTTGTTTGTTGTTGTTGTTTGAAATGGCATCTCGCTCTCTCGCGCAGGCTGGAGTGCAGAGGCACAATCTTGGCTCACTGCCACCTCTGCCTCCTGGGTTCAAGTGATTCTCCTGCCTCAGCCTCCCAAGTAGCCAGAGCCACAGGCACGTGCTACCACACCTGGCCATTTTTTGTATTTTCAGTAGAGGCAGGGTTTCACCATGTTGGCCAGGCTGGTCTTGAACTCCTGACCTCATGTGATCTGCCCGCCTCAGCCTCTCAAGGTGCCAGGATTAAAGGCGTGAGCCACCGCGCCTGGCCTGTCTGTTGTTTTTTAAATTTAATTTTATTTTAAGTTCTGGGATACATGGACATGCAGGTTTGTTACATAGGCAAACGTGTGCCATGGTGGTTTGCTGCACCTATCAGCCCATCACCTAGGTATTAAGCCCCACATGCATTAGCTTTTTATCTTGATGTTCTCACTCCCCTGACTCCCTGCAACAGGCCCCAGTGTGTGTTGTTCCCCTCCCTGTGTCCATGTATTCTCATTGTTCAGCTTGACTTATAAGTGAGAACATGCAGTGTCTGGTTTTCTGTTCCTGTGTTAGTTTGCTGAGGACAATGGCTTCCAATTCCACCCACGTCCCTGCAAAGGACATGATCTCATTTATTTTCATGGCTGCATAGTCTTCCATGGTGTATATACATCACATTTTCTTTATCCAGTCTATCATTGATGGGCATTTTGGGTTGATTCCATGTCTTTGCTATTGTGAATAGTAATAGTGATCAGTTTTTGAGCACTTATGTGTGTCAGCACTGGGCTCAACACCTTTATTTATTTTTTATTAAAAAAATTTTTTTGAGACAGGGTCTCGCTGTGCCACCCATGCTAGAGTGAAGTGGCACAATCACAACTCACTGTAGCCTCAACCTCCTGCATTCAGGTGATCCTCCCACCTCAGCCTCCCTAGTAGCTGGGACTATAGGCACGTACCACCACAAGCAGCTAATTTTTCTAATTTTTGTAGAGACAGGGTTTCACCATGTTGCCCAGACTGGTCTTGAACTTCTGAGCTCAAGCGATCCTCCCACTGCAGCTTCCCAAGGTGCTGGGATTACAGGCGTGAGCACCACACCCGGCTGTTCAGCACCTTTGGATACATGATCTCATGTATTCCTTGTGATGGCTTTGTGAGGTATCATCCTCATTTTATAGATGGGGAAACTGGGACTCAAAGAGGTTATATAATTTGTTTGTTTTTTGTTTTTTTGAGACAGAGCCTTGCTCTGTCACCCTGGCTGGAGTGCAGTGGCATGATCTCGGCTCACTGCAACTTCCATCTCCTGGCCTCAGCCTCTCAAGTAGCTGGGATTATAGGTGCATGCCATCACACCTGACTAATTTTTGTTTGTTTGTTTATTTATTTATTTTGAGATGGAGTCTTGCTCTGTTGCCCAGGCTGGAGAGCAATGGCGTGATCTCGGCTCACTGCAACCTCTGCCTCCCAGGTTCAAGCAGTTCTCCTGCCTCAGCCTCTCCAGTAGCTGGGATTATAGATGCGTGCCACCACACCCAGCTAATTTTTATATTTTTAGTAGAGACAGGGTTTCATCATGTTGGCCAGGTTGGTCTCGAACTCCTGGTCTCAGGTGATCTGCCCGCCTTGGCCTCCCAAAGTGCTGGGATTACAGGCATGAGCCACAGTGCCTGGCCGAAGTTCAATAATTTGACCAAGGTCACACAGGTAGTATGAATCGGGATTCAAATCCAGATCTGTCTGAGCTGAAGCTTATGTGCTGAACTAATTAGACATGCAGCTTCCTTGGTAGAAAGCTTCTTTGTCCTCGTGCTGAGCTGTAGCTTCTCCCAGTGTCCTTTCTTTCCAGGGTAGGGTGGGGTGGGGTGGGGTATCATACAAATCATGAGTGAGATGACAGTCACGTTGGTATTTAGTACCTCAAAAGTTTTTTTCTACAAAGATCCCCAGTTTCCTAATTTTTTTCTGCTTAATACTGAACTTCCTCACAAGATCATGATTCTTATTTCTAAATCATATTTATCTTATTTTTTTTCTAAAAAATAATACGTGCATTTGGAACAAAAAATATTAGAAAAAGGGTGTGTGTGTGTGTGTGTGTGTATAAGGGTATACACATTATATATGTTATAATGGTATACACACACGTATATATAGAGAAAGAGAGACTGTATGTTAGAGTGTTTTACAAAATATATCGATGGTAACAAACTATAAAAAACATTCAGCACCATGCTTTTTTCACTTAAAATATCTTGGGGATACATCCAGAGCTGCTTGTTATTTTAACAGCTGCGTCATGTTTTATTACATAGATGTGCCTTAATTTATTCAGCCAGGCTCATGGGTGATCATTTAGCTTGTTTCCAGTTTTTGCTGCTACAAATAGTGCTGTATAAAATATCCTTGTATACATGGCTTTGTAAACATGCACATATCTGTAAGATAAACTTCTAGAAGTGGAACTGGATTCATAACATTGCCAAATTGCCCTCTGAAAGGTTATACCAATTCAGACACCCACTGATCCATTTATCATTCCCTACTACAATATACCTTTGCCAACATAAGGAATCAAACTTTTTGATCTCTGGTAACTAATAGGTTAAAAAAAGGTATCACAGCTTTACTCTCTTACTATATATTTTCCTTTGTTTTTCTTTTATGGCTTTTAAATTTCATGTCATGTTTAGAAAGATCTTCTCTCAGATTATAAAATAATTCTCTCAAGACTCCTTTTGCGGCTGGGCGCGGTGGCTCATGCCTGTAATCCCAACACTTTGGGAGGCTGAGGCGGGTGGATCACGAGGTCAGGAGAACGAGACCATCCTGGCTAACACGGTGAAACCCCATCTCTACTAAAAATGCAAAAAATTAGCCTGGCAGTGGGCGCCTGTAGTCCCAGCTACTTGGGAGGCTGAGGCAGGAGAATGGTGTGAACCCGAGAGGCAGAGCTTGCAGTGAGCCGAGATCCAGCCACTGCACTCCAGCCTGGGCGACACAGCAAGACTCCGTCTCAAAAAAAAAAAAAAAAAAAAAAGGCTCCTTTTGCTCTTTTGTGTGTGTGTGTGTGTTTTAATGTTTAAACCATTGATCTATCTCTCTTCTCCTAAAGTACCATGCCCAGAACTGAAGGTAATTCTCCAGCCCAGAGCAGAGCACAGCTGTCTCCACCTCCCTCATCCAGACATTGCTGTTCAGCCTATGATCAGCCTAGCCTCTTGGCTGATAATGAATTTACTGTCAATTAAAACTGAAAGTGTTTTCACAGGGGCTGCAGTTAAGCCCTCGCTTCCCCATTCTGTATTTGTGCATATGCATTTATATTTATGGGAGAAGCAGAGGTGAGGGACTTGTTGCCTGAAAATACTCCAAAAAGCGGTTGCTCCAAAACCAAATTAAAGCAGAGAGCCAAGTTCAGATCACTTACTCTTGCACCGTCTTCCGTCCTCAGCTAGAACAAATCCCTCTGAGCATTTGCAGCTGTAGGAAATCCCATTATTAACACAAATGTGTTCGCAGCCATGGTGGGTTGATTTGCAGACATCCTTCCCTGAGGAAAATGTAGGGAGTTGAACAATCCCATCAGTGTAGAAATGTGGTGAACTGAATAGTCATGTGAGTAGAGATCGTGGAAGTAATCTCTTTTAAAGAAAATACACCTCTCTTCAAACCTCCTTCATAATGTCTTTTTTAGTCTCATACTCAGGATGGGGAAAAAGCTCCTCTCAGAAAGCTCCAGCTCCCATGAGTCTGAATGGTATGATGGGTGATTAGGTGTCCTTGATTTACTATCCTATTATTAGATGTGCTTTAGCTTCTAATTTATTTTGCCACAGACATCCCAAACACTCCAGTTCAGATTGTCTAATGAACATTTCTCATGTGTGAGGTAATTTAAACTCTTCGAAGTACTTACAGCCCTTTAGTCCTCACAACACCCTGTGAGAGGAAGAAGACAGGGGTAATTATACTCAAGGTATAAATGAAGAATCAGATCCTCAGAAAGCTTCACTGCTGCCCACGGTCATCTGGCAGGTTGATGACACAGCTGTCTCCCGAGTGCTCCTCCATAGCCTGAGAGCCTGTGGCTCTTTCCTGTCATTAGCCCTTAAAAGGAGAGGCTTCACATAAAATTGGAATCAGTGAGTACACATCCCTCTAGGAAGCAGGAATGGTGAAATCTGATTTAGGATCAGATTCCAGAAGTAGAAGTTGTACCTTGTGTACAGTAGCTTAATTTACTGAGCAAAAAATGTGTTGAATGAATAAACAGTGTGTGTGAGTGTGCAGATGTTTGCAGAAAGAAAAGCAAGAGGGCTAGGCGTGGTGGTTCACACCTGTAATCCCAACACTTTGGGAGGCCAAGGCAGGCAGATCTCTTGAGCTCAGGTGTTCAAGACCAGCCTGGGCAACATGGTGAAACCACATCTCTACAAAAAAATACAAAAATTAACTGGGTGCGGTGGTGCATGCCTGTAGTCCCAGCTACTCAGGAGGCTGAGGTGGGAAGATCGCTTGAGCCCAGGAGGTGGAGGTTATAGTGAGCCAAGATACTGCCACTGCACTCCAGCCTGGGTGACAGAGTAAGACCCTGTCTCAAAACAAAAACAAACAAAAAGAAAAGCATGAACAAAGCAGCACAGACAGCCACAATGGGCAGAATTATAGAAAAATCCCCACAAGAGGGCCACTGCAGTGTGAAGCTGAACCTGCAGTTGTGAGGGGAATCCCTGCAGAGTCAGGCCAGGGCACCACAGGCATCCTAGGCACCAGTCGTTCACACAGAACTTCTCGGTAAAGGCAGGAGTCGCTCTTCCCGGTGGAAGAAGCGAGGTACTGAGATCCATCCAACCCAGCCTTGCTGGCTTGTGGAACGTCCCCAGTTATCTCAAAGGAGTCTGTGAGAAAATTCCCAAAAATCAACCTCAAAAGCAACTGAACTTATTTTGACTTAATTTAAAAAGGGTCATTTTGCCCACTGGGGCACAGTGTCACAAAAGCAAGTAGACTTTGTCAACCACCCTTCCCCGCCAAATAGGGAATTACCACCTCAGAATCCCATGGTGGGGAAAAATCCCTGCTCTGTACTCTCCTAACGCCCACCTCACTGAACTCGTATGACATCCCTCTCTTCCTTTGGGTACTGTGAAGGTTAATCTGATGTGTCACTTTGGCTAGGCTATTGCGCCCAGTTGTTTGGTCAAACACCAGTCTAAATGATGCTGTGAGCTAATTTTTAGATGCAATTAACATTTAATCAGTAGACATTGAGTAAAGCAGATCAGATTACCCTCCATAATGTAGATGGGCCTCATTCAATCACTTGAAGGCCTAAAGAAAAAAGACCGAGGTCCTCAGAGGAAAAGGGAATTCTGCATCCAGACTGCCTTCAGACTTGGGCTGCAGCATCAGCTCTTGCCTGGGTCTCCAGGCTGCCTACAGATTTAGAACTTGCCAGTCTCTGACAATTATGTGAGCCAATCCCTTAAAATCAACCAATGTTTTCCTCTCTCACCATATATATGTGTGTGTGTGTGTGTGTGTGTGTGTGTGTCCATTTTTCCTGTGGAGATGATATATTAATAGAAAATAGAAACAGACCATAGTATACATATATATACACACACACGTATATATATATGTGTGTGTATATATATCTTCTATGATATATATAAATAGAAGATAGAACAGACTATAGAAGACATATGTATATTATATATGTCTTCTATTATATTTATATATAATAGAAGAAGATATACATAGAGAAGGTCTGTTTTTCTGGAGAACTCTGGTGAATATACCTTCTAACTAAACTCTCAGAGCCTGTTCTGGGTGACCTATAGAAGCAAATGATACAAATAATAGAAAAATAAAACCCACAGGACATCCCTCTGATATGGTTTGGCTGTGTCCCCACCCAAATGTCATCTTGAATTGTAGTTCTCACAATTCCCATGTGTTGTGGGAGGAACCTGGTGGGAGGTAATTGAATCATGGGGACAGGGCTTTCCTGTGCTATTCTAATAGTGAATAATCTCCACAAGTTCTGATGGTTTTATAAAGGGTGTTTCCCTGCACAAGTTCTCTTCTCTTGTCTGCCACTGTGTGAGATGTGCCCTTCACCTTCTGTCATGATTGTAAGGCCTCTCCAGTCAAGTGGAACTGTGAGTCCATCAAACCTCTTTCTTTTGTAAATTGCCCAGTCTCAGGTATGTCTTTATCAGCAGTGTGAAAATGGACAAATATACCCTTTCACCCTTTGCCCTTACTTTTAAGGTCTGCCAAGAGGAGAAAGCTCGGTAATTAACCTTTGATCCTTGTAGTGATTGCTAGCAGAGGTTCTAATTCAGTCCAGTGACTAGGCAGGCACTGTGCAAGGCTCTGGGCACCCACATAGCTGCTGTGGAAAGGGCTGACAGCTGGCAGAAAATGAAGAGAAGCAAAGGACCCAAAACTCAGGCCTTGACTGAGAAATTCCCAAAAAAGCAAGAGGCTACTGAACTGATCTCTAGCTAATCACTTTCAGAGCACCCAAGGCAGGAACTGACACTTGTGACAGTGGTAATAAAGGAGGACTTTAAGGATTAAATGAAGTTCTCTAATTCTGAGTCCACAGAGGGAAAAGTTCTTCTCCACCTCAAGGCTACTTACTTTGGCAGCGTTTCCCATCCTCGGCGAGCCGGAATCCCTCCAAGCACTTGCATGTGTATGAGTCGTCACTGTTCACACAAATGTGTTCACAGCCATGGTCTACTGCTTGGCAGACATCTTTCCCTGAAGACGGGAGAGCAAGTTTCAACAATTTCGCCAACATGCATTTCACATGGACTTCACCCTGGAGGACCCATCTGCTGGAGTCCGCTACCGGATTCTACTGCCCCCTGAGCTCAGTGGTCTGTGGGGCAGGAAGATACAATTGAGAACAAAGTTTAGGGGCTCTAATTCGGGCTAACCCTTCAAACTGTTTCACAGTCTTCACCATCATCATTCACCAGCACTACTTTAGTGTTAAAATGCAGTCCATCATCAGCTTTCTGTAGACATAGTTTCTGATATCAGAATGGAAACACTGTTGATATGATTCCTTAGGAGATGAAACCTCAATTTAGATTAGCAGCACTGAAATCTCACTTTGGCTTTGTGCCTGACATAGTGTATGACTTAGGAGAATAACTTAACTTCTTGGAGTCTTAGCTTTGCTGTCTAAAAAATGAGAGAGTAATTACTCCAGCTACCCATCTTTCCTTACAAAAGTGTCAACATGAGTTGCTCTTTATAAAGTGCTTTGAGACGTTGAGAAAAAGATAACTGATAGGGCTGGAAACCAGGGTCACACACTCCCCTTTGATTATTCAGAGATGTGTCTTGAGATTTACGCCAGCAATTCACTCTAAGGCTGCTTGTCCTGGGTTGGCTGGCTGCAGCCCCATCTAAGAGGCTTTGCCTTCTGAAAGGCAAAACTGGCTTCATCACAAGGTGCCCTCTGGGAAGGATTTGTGCTACCAGAAATAACAACAACAACATTATTAAAGATAAATAAGCAGAGAGGCTTAGAGAAGTTAGACAACTTTCCCAGCTAATGAATGGCAGAGACAGAAGTTGATTGAATCTTGGATTTCTGACTGTCCATCTTTCCACTAGAGTATACTGCCAAACCACTGTTTCTTGCCACAAAGCATATAAATGAAGAACTTCAGTAATAGCTCTGGCATCCACTTTGTTTGTCCATTTTTTTAATAGACTTTATTGTTTAGGACAGTTTTAGATTTACACAAAAATTGAGACGATAGTGCAAAGAATTGCCATATACCCTACACCTAATTTTCCTATTATTAACACCTCACATGAGTGTGGTCCCTCCGTTATTATTAATAAACCCATACTGATACATGATTATTAGCTAAAGTCTGTACTTTATTGACATTTACTTAGTTTTTCCCTAATGTCCTTTTTCTCTTTCAGGGTCCTATCCAGGACACTACATTACATTTTGCCGTGTGGCATTGACTTCTGAGAGGAACTGATGTATACAGAGGTGAGGATAGCAATTTCACACAGTGGTCTGGCAGAGTAGTAGGAGCCAGCTCCAGTACAAACTTACTTCTGCAGGTTTTCCCATCTTCACGGAGTATATAACCTTCAAAGCACTGGCATACATACGAATCTTCACTGCTTACACACGAGTGTTCACAACCATGGTCCCCCAGAGCACAAGAGTCCAGTTCTGAGAATCAAATGGGAATTAGAGAAACAGAAGAAGAAAATGACTCATACTGAGTGGCTTATTCAATCATAAAAGACATTTCAGACACCTTGAATTAAAACAGTGCCTTATCCTACAGTACACATTTCAGAATATAAAGCGTGTCTATGAGCAAAAATTCCTTTTTGAGAGAGGGTCTCACTCTGCCACCCAGGCTGGAGTGTGGTGGCATAATCTCAACTCACTGCAGCCTCCACTTCCCGGGCTCAAGTGATCCTCCCATCTCAGCCTCCTGGAGAGCTGGGACTACAAGCACGCACCACCACACCTGGCTAATTTTTTGTAGAGACGGGATTTCGTCATGTTGCCCAGGCTGGTCTCGAATTGCTGGGCTCAAGCAATCTGCCCACCTCAGACTCCCAAAGTGAGCAAGAATTCTTAATATATACATGGCACATAAAATTCAAACAATATAATCATCTCCACAAGAAAAATGAACAAAAAACATGAGAATACAAGTTACAGAATGAGAGATAAATTACTTATAAATATTAGAAAATAAGATTAACCTAACTGGCTATTATATAACTATACTATCAACTTATTTACATATCTACTTATGTATGTATGTATATATTACACTTAGGTAACCAATTCATTCACGTATTCAGTCAGTTCACAAATATTTTGTGAGTCCCTGTGATGAGCCAGGTACTGTTTTAGGCTCTGGGGATACAGCAATGAAGAAAATAAAGTCTCTGCTTTTGTGAAGCTTACATTTGGCAGCAGGTGTCGGGGAAGAGGGATGCGTGGAAAACAGACAAACATGTGCTATGTCATGTGGGAAAAAGTGCTATGGAGGAAGAGCAGGAAAGAAGGATGGAGAGTGGCTGCTGGGCTGGAGAGTAGGGAGGGCTTGTTATTTTATATGGTGTGTCAGATACGGTGACACTGAGCAGAGCCCTGCAGAAAGAGAGGAAGTGAGTGGTGGTGTCTGGGAAAGAGCACGATCAGCAAGAAAGAACAGCATTTGCAAACCGCAGCAACAGGAGCTGCTTGGTTGGTGTGTTTCAGGAAAGGCAAGGAGACCACTGTGACTGGAGCATCCAGGAGCCTGGCAGGGGATGAGGCCAGCAAGGCTGGCTGGGGCAGACCATGTGGGGTTCACAGTAGGGGTCAGATCTGAAGGAGAAGGGCAGTCACTGCAGTGTTTCGAGCAGTGGAGTGGCATGATATGGGTTTGTTTTGAAAGGATCACTCTGCACAGAATGGAGCTCGGACAGCTAGGAGCAGCCCTGTGCAAAGATCTTGGTGATCCAGACCAGGCTGGTGAGAAGTGGTCAGACTGGCTGTATTTTAAGGTAGAGATTATAAAATTTGCTCGTGTATTAATAAAGAGTCCATATGGATAGGACGGAAGAGTCAAAGGAGACTCCGAGGTTGCTGGACTGAGCAACTGAAGGACGGTGTTGCCATCTTATAGGGCTGGGTGGCTTCTGGGGGACTAGAAGGTTTGTGAACCTGTGAAAACCAGGCTGTTATTTTAAAAGCTTAATACTGAGGATAGGTGAGTGGTGACTTTTTATAAGAACCATATATATTTATAAGAACCATACATACAACTTTTATAAGAAAGTTAACTCAATCCTTTCAGATTGAGTAGAATTTCTAAAATGGACATGAATTGGAGTTATTAAATAAAGGCCCCAAAGCACATAATGACCTTTATAATCAGGCACAAACCACACATATTTTTTGGTAAAGCATCTTTGCAGTATCTCTCTGGAGAGGCCTCCTCAGAACCACCTTTGGGTTAGTTAAGGCAGCTGTTGTTATTCTCCCTCACCAGCTAGGGAAACTAAGGGTTGGGAAGGCTAATGGCTTGTCAAGACCAATTGTTAACAACAGAAAGAACCAGACAAAAATTGTAACCTTATAAATAAATCCCCGTTTTTTCTGACTATACTGCATTGCTATATTCTAAAGCAAGCTTTCAACCGTGAAGGGAATTCTGCCTCTCTTTCTTTGGGCAGAAGCACTGCCAAAATCTTTGAAGAATGGGAAAAGGTTGATAACTGCGATTACAGCTGCAGAGGAGGCTCAAAGCCAAGTTGGACACTCCTGCTTGCCCTGAGCGTGACTTACTTTTCTAGGCAAATTCTAGACTCACTACTAATGCAGAACATTTCCCAATGGCTTGGGGTAGTTCCTCACATAGTGTAAGAATGGAAAGTACAATGAAGTAATCCATGATACAGACAACTGGATGGCCATGGAGGTGAGGTGTTTTTTTCCCCCTACCATGAATTTATAATAACAATACTACTCCACTTTCCACGGTAATCAAATAGCTATAGCTCTTTCATGTCAGCCTTGTCAAGCCATAATCTAGACAGACCCCTCTGAGCAAGCTGTTTTTTTTTTTTTTTGTTTTTTGGGTTTTTTTTTTTTTGAGATACAGGCTTGCTCTGTCGCCCAGGCTAGAGTGCAGTGGTGTCATTGCGGTTCACTGCAGCCTTGGCTCTTGGGCTCATGTGATCCTCTCACCTTAGCCTCCTGAGTAGCTGGGACTACAGGTACATGCCACCATGCTTAGCTAATTTTCATATTTTTTGTAGAGACGGGGTCCCACTATGTTGCCCAGGCTGGTCTTAAGTTTCTGGCCTCAAGTGATCCTCCTGCTTCAGTCTCCCAAAGTGCTGCGATTACAGGCATGAGCCACCACAACTTATCTGCAATGGATATTCTTGTGCATGTAGTTTTATGTACAATGTGAAGGCATACCTGAAAGTTATACATCCAGAAGCAGAATTGCCTAGGTAAAGGGTATGAATATTTAAAGGCAGATAAATATTTCCAAATCACCCTCCAAAGAGATTATTTCAATCTCTACCCTCACCAACAATGTAAGACAGTCTCTGTTTCTGTTTCTGATTCAGGGTTTCTGGGATGCTACCTGGGTCTTTAGACTTTTTCCAAGCCCCACAGATGATTTCAACGAATCATCAGAGGTGAGATGTTGGCAGTGGCCATAATGCCTGGCACCTAACAGACCCCTAGGAAATCCTGTTGAACAAAAGGAAACATTTCCTCAGTTTTCTATTCTGAAAATGGAGGGTAATTAGATCCACCTCACAGGGGTTTTGTGCAGATGTTTTAAATAAGAACCCATGGGGTGTGTAGATGTTTGTGGCCAGCTAGGCTTCCCACTCTCTCCCACACACCCCCTTGCAAAATGCGCGACTCATATTTCTTCAGCAAAATGTCCAGTTTCTGCCCTGCAGGGATGTTCTGGGCCACTTATAAATTCAAATAACCACGGATGGGAAATTAGAGAATGCCAAAGTCAGACAATAGTTAACCTCCTAACCATAGGCACTAGCTTTCTATCCACCAAGTCTGGAAACCAACTTGGAGTCAGTTTCTCCTTAGGGCAAAGATATTCCCCTATAGGAAAATGCTTCAGTGGTCCCCTAACAGGCAAAGAGAGCCACCACCCTGACTCACTACCACCGCGTGTCTTCAGCCTGGGAGACGATGGTGGGCACCACAGTAAGTTCATTGATTTGGCAAGTGTTTATGGAACACTTCTCTGGGCCAGGCAATATCCTTGTTTGGGGGCTGGAAGTTCAACTTATTGGATATGAACTAGTCCAACCCCTTCATTAGAGATGAGAAAACTGACGGTCAGAGGGGAAGTGACTTTCCCAATGTCCCTGAACCTTCAGAGGTGACTGGTCTTAGCTGTCCTGGGGGCAGAGATGGGACTATATTCAAACCTGTTACCTCCGTGTCCCTGGTCCAGCTGCACATCCACGGATCATCCTAGGTTAAAAGGGTGTGCTGAGGCAGCCTGGCAGATTCTCAGAAGACAAACTAGACAAACATCATTTTCTCAAGAGATGCCTGCCAGGAAGTCTCTCATACCTCTGCAGGCTGTAGGTGGGTAATGTGTGTCCAGCCGGCGTCCCCAGCCTTGTCTCTCACCCGCCTCCCTCTTGCACTCAGTACCCCATACTCAGAGCACGGAACTTCCTGCAGTTGGCTCTCTGGCCCCTAGGAAAGCATTTCCCCTCCATCTCTGGCTGGCTCACTGTGCTCGCTCTCTGGGTGTCTGATTAAACATCTCTTTCTCTAGACTAGGGGAGGCTCCCGCAGCCCCCTCCTTCCCACATCACCACTCTCACCCCATGGAATGGACGCTGTCTCTGCTATCCTTCTTCCCCAAGAAGCTTTAAACGCTGTCAGGGCACAAACGGAATCTGCATCAACCCCAGAGATCCCCAGCACCCCGCACACTGCAGGTACACAGTAAATATTCGTAGAGAACGAGGGTAAAGGAACCAAGTGCTTAAGGAAGTACCTAGATTCAAACCCAGAGAGGAGAGCAAAGACAGACTCCATTAGGAGCCATCACTTAAGTGAAATAGGTGGGAGGACGTATGAGAAATCTCAAGAGGGAGGAAGAAAACATTCTTCCTCTCAAAGAAGGATTCTCCTCCTTTTACACATAAGGACCCAGGCCTACGTTTTTAATTAAACCCTCATCGTGAATGGATTCTGCAGTGTGTGCTCAGGATGATGAGAAGTTTTAGGATGTAGCACAGGTCTTTAGGGTCCACATCTAGCAGCCCTGCACGCTGACACAGGTGAGTCACATATGTCTGTGGCGCAGCAACTGTGGGGCAACGTGTTCTGTGGACTTGCACCTCTGCCGTGATGACAGACAGCAATCCTGCGTCTGGGGCTCCACGTAAGACGCTGTTAAAACCAACCCCAACCCCAGAGAGGGAAAGCCACAGCGGCCATCTGCCAAGACAGTAACCAGAAGCCGACAGATAGAATTACACTGCTTCCTGGCTTTTCTCGTAATAAAACTAGGAGCAGCCAATCCTTTGCTAACTTAATATAGGCTTTTTCTCAGACAAACCAAGAAGCAGCTGAACTGAGATGTGCTTTTCCAGGGCATCTCACACTGGGCAAAAGATCCTGAAATCAGGGGACTCGGCTCTGGTCCTGGCTCTGCTACTGACTCCCCGACCAGGGCCAGCTTGGAGGCATCATTTTCCTCCATGTGTCTGTTTCCCACAAAATAAGGGAAAATCTCTACCTTCCTTCTGTTGCATCAAGCCTGTAATATAAATACCTGACAGTGAGGGTGGTCTCCTCCCCCTACTCCCTGCTACAGACTATTTCCCCCAAAATTCACATCTGATATTAGCCCTGATATGAGGGTATGTGGAGGTGGAGTCTTTGGGAGGTCATTAGGTTTAGATGGGGTTGTGAGGGCAGGATCCTGACCTGATAGGATTAGTGTTCTTATAATAAGACGAGACACTAGAGAACTTGCCTGTACTCTTTGCTCTCTCTCCCTACAACCCATGCAATATGAGGACACAGTGGGGTGCTGGCTGTCTGCAAACTAGGAAGAGGGCCCTCACCAGAACCCAGCCATGCCAGCACCTGGATCCTGGACTTCCAGCCTCCAGAACTGTGAGAAATAAATTTCTGTGGTTAAGAAAAAACATTCAGTCTATACTATTTTGTGATGGGAGCCTGAGTAGACTAAGATACTCCCCTAGCCTTGCCTAGGGCTGCCTCAGCCCTGGAAGGCCAAGCTCAGGGCCTCAGGCAGCCTAGCAGGCCCTTGCAGATCTGCCTGTGGTGGTTGGACTGGGAGTATCACCAGCAGAGATCCCCCAGTGCCCTAGTCTGATGGCTCTGATCCCCGTTGGTGTCCTCCGCTTGCAGAAGGGAGGGTCCCTCACAGGACAGCCCTTGGAAAGAGTCCAGGCGCCTTCCAGAGTTGTGCATCTCTGGGGCCCCTCCAAGGAGAGCAGGCATGGCCCTGGGAGATGTGCCTCCAGGCAGCAATGCCAGGAGCTACCTTCTGAGTCTCCTCAGTGCAGGGGGTTCTGATGCTGAGGAGGGTAGACGAGAAGAGGAATCCCTTAGGGGTCACGGCAGTTCACAAGTTCACATAGCACTGCAACAGCAGTCTCCCTGAACCACACAGTGGCCTTGAAAGGCAGCAATGACCATTCTTAGTTTAGAGATGAGCGCTCAGACCCCGAGAGGGCCAATTCCCTTGCCCAGAGTAGAAGCGACATGATTTAAACCCAGTCTTTGGACTTCCAGTTCAGTACTGTTTTTGCTCTGCCACACTGTTTCTCAGACCTGTGCACAGAGAACCCCAGGATGACGCCAGGCAGGAGAGCTCTGAAGAGAGGCCCCAGCAGAGTCTGGGATGGGAGGAGGAGAGGACAGCCCATCAGGTAGGGGAGGAGGTTGCCCATGGGGGTGACATTGGGATGGGCTGGAAGGTACCAGGCCTGTTCAGAGAATAGGGGACTTGCCACTTTGACTGAAGAACAGGAGGAAGCTTCAGGGAGGGCCCAGGGTGAGGCTCAAGAAGTGGAAGAGGGAGTTCTTCACTCTGCCAAATCAAGGAGTGTAATGGAAATTTATTATAGGAGACAGTGGAAAGCCACTGAGGGTTATCAAGTGGGGAGCGGACCCTGTGCCAGGGGCCGTGGGGTGGCCTCTGTCCATTCACACTCCCAGTCATTTCATGTTGGCCTCTGACCTCCAACCTCCAGGAGCTCGCAGGCCAGTGGCCAGTGTGGTCCATGCACATCAGGCCTGTGGAGTCTTTCTTGGTGCTGGGATCCCCTTGCACAAGGTCAATCTCAGGGAACTGTCTAGAGAGGGAAGAAGTCCTCTCAGCTGAAGCTGGTAAAAGAGATCGCCTCATCCTCTCCCCCCCACACCCTGAGTCTGTGCATCTAACCGCCAGAGGCAAAAAGACCTTTGGGAGAATCTGGGAAAGCAGAGCTTGGGGTCAGGGGACTGGAGGAAGGGAGGGGACATCACTCCAGAGGCCAGAGAACCCAAGGTGCCTGAAGGGGTAAGGGGGATAGCAGTGCCCATTTCATCCCAGGGCCCCTGGAACCCCTCCATGCTTTAGAGAACTTTCCAGAAGATGAGTGACACATTCTTAAGACCACTTGCTATCAAAGCTCTAAGTAGAGGCTGCCTCTATAAAGAGCCAAGAACACTCTTATCTGCTGAGCCAGGCCTGGCTGCCCCCACGCAGGCTTTACCAAAAAGGTACAGTCATGCCGTCTGGCTCTTTGTCATCTCGAGTAGAGCCGGGGAACATACATCCCAACCTCCAGTTAGCTGTGGCCACACTGAAAACCTAGCCCATTATTACAGGACAGGACAGGACAGGACAGTCAGAATGAATCATTCTGGGGCAGGCAGAAAGTCTTCAATTAGGGAAATAGCTCAACACATTTGTATCAGCTGATGGGTTAAATGCATCTCTCATGTACAGTTCCTGAGGACAATTCTAACTTATCTGATTATCTCACAAGTTCTCATCTAGACACAACCATATATAAATAACAAAATTCACTATTCATTGCATTGTTGAACATTTACTCATGTAGATGGTTCCTCTGTGCCATTCGTTAGAAACCCACTTGAAATGAGAACATGGGCAACACTTAAAAGTGGCCAAGTCATAATCCAGATGTGGACTTAGGCAGGGGAGAGGAAGGGGCACATGATTCAAACGAGATGGGGCTGCATTTGTTTAGAAGGGCTCATGAGAATTTCTTAGGGTCCTATAACCATCTTATAGTCCATTCTTGATTATCACAGGAACGAGGTAGACGGAAGAAGGACTCCTCTTATTCTCAGAATAATGTAAAATAATGGAGAATTAAACAAACCAACAAACCCCTTACATCTGGCTTTGGCATGCTGTCAATGTCGATGCAATTCAACACACCCACCCTCTTTCTGCATCCCCTGTGCCCAATCCCTCCCTGAGCTGGCTGCAGAAGCAGTCTGGGAGGCAGCTGGGCGGGGAGCCACCGAAAGCTATAACACGGATAACCCATTTGCTGAGATTCAAGGATCTGTCCCAAACTGGAAATATTTTCTCACAAGCAGCATAGAGAGGCACGCCCAGCTGTGCAGCCAGCTCATCTGCCTAGATGAATGGATGATATAAAAAGGTGGATAAATTAGGTTGTGCCTACAATTGTACCAGTGGTCAGGGAACTTGGCCCTATAACCAGAAAGACCAGCAGGCTGGGGAAGATACATTGTGGTCCTTTTCTTCCATTTCTGATCCCTTCTCTCAAAATGACTATGTTTCAATTCTTTATCTTGGTCCACTTAGAAACAGAATTGCAGGGCAGCAAACACACCAGCATTCTTCAGTGAAGGAGAGGAGGAGGTCTGGGAGCATTTTTTTTTTTTTTTTTTAATTAATGGAGACAGGGGTTGGGACCAGCTGCAAGGAAATGTGTACCCAGGACCCATCACTGCCAGCCTTACCATGTGCTGTGAGATCACCGGGATCAGAAAGCCGAGCAAAGCGTTTCTCAGGAGCATCCTCTTCTCCCAGGACTGACTTTGGAATCACACCCAGCAGAGTCTGAACCCACCACTTACTAGCGGGTGACCTTAGGCTCTTTACTTAATCCGAGCTACAGTTTTTCCCTCATCTGTCCCCTGAATACAACAGCATGTGTGCTTAGCCCAGTGCTCAGCACGCAGCCAGCAGTCAGCGAGGGGTCCACATGATTATTCATGTGCCATACTAGACAGCTGGGGGTAGAGCAGAGAGAGAGCTGAGGACTAGGGCTCTGTCCAGCTTCGGAATGACAGGGAGGTGGGTTATGGAAACAGCAAAAAGCCACCTCAGGGCATGGGGGAAGGCAGTTTGAGGGGAGGGGTGGAGTAGCCACCAAGGCTCAATGGCTAAGAGATGCCGTCACACACATTCATTCGGGCCCAGCAAAGCCTGGAGACAGGACACACAGGCACATATACACGTCGGTAGCGCGCCCACACCCGCACCCACGGAACACCTGTGTAGGTCCCGCTTGTCCTTCAGACACTTACTTGCACACGTCTTCCCATCGCTGCGGAGCACGTGTCCCTCAGGACACTGACAGAAAAAGGATCTGTCCACGTTGACGCAGGAGTATTCACAACCATGGTCACTCAGCAGGCAATAATCCACCCCTGCAAAACCAAAAGCCAGGCAGCCCTTTATCAGTGAGACCTCTGGGCGACGGTGATGGGATCAAGTGACCGTCATGCCCACCCCACCCTCCCTCGAAGGCATGCAGTCCCAGTGGACATCCCCACCATCTCCCGGAGCAGAGCAAGGGGCAGGGGGGGAGTGCCCAAGTACAACCTGTGCCTTCTGCAGTCACATAGGTTTCACTCCTGGTGCAAACCTTCCCCTACGAGAGGAGCGTGCAGGGACTCACGGGAGCAGGTCTTGAGGTCCTCGTTGATGAGGAAGCCTTCTGAGCACTGGCAGACGAAGGACTCCTCCGTGTTCAGACACAGCTGCTCACAGCCATGGTCCTGCTGTGCACAGTGGTCCACTCCTGCATTTTCACACATGTGAAAGCATAGAGGAGCCGAGGGGGCAACACCCCACCAGCAACCAAGATTGAAAAACAAAACCGGAGGCATAATGAGCCACGGGGAAGGTGTCATTCTACCCCACACCCCTGGCCCCTCCAGAAAATCAGCCTGGCTTGTTGGTTTTCTTTCCCTTTTCACTCAGGCTGGAGTGCAGTGGCGAGATCTCAGCTCACTGCAACCTCCGCCTCCTGGGTTCAAGCGATTCTCCTGCCCCACCCTCCAGAGTCACTAGCTGGGGTTACACGTGCCTGGCACCACGCCCAGCCTTCTTTTCCATTTCTTTGTTTAAAGAGTAAAGCATACAACCCCAACGGCTGGGAAATGCTGTCCCTGGTATTGATGACAGCAGTACTCTGCCAGGGCCATGGCGCACAGAATCCACAGCCTCAGGGCACCTCTGAGAGCAGGTGCAATTCCCATTTCACAGAGAGGAAAGTGAGGCTCAGGAAGGTCAAGGTCAAAGCCACACAGCTGATAGAGTAGTGCTTAGAGTGCGGGTTCTGGCATCAAACTACCTAGATTCAAATCACACCTCTGCCACTTCCTAGCTATGGATGCTGGGCAGTCCCACCGCCTCTTTGCCATCGTTTCCTGATTTGTGAATGTGGATGTTGATGGTTAGTTTCTTATAGGAACAGGGTGAGAATAAGAGGAATTGATTCACGTAAAGCGCTCAGAACAGTAGCTGGCATACGGCAACCACTTAATGAACACATTATTATTATCAAGTAGTGCTAAGAATTAGTTGTACCATTTCATTTCTAATTGAAAATGAAAAAGAATTGTCATTCTCAATGAAATCAATTTCGTTGTTTTACCCCCATCATCAGGACATCCGGATTAAAAAAACAAACCAAAGCCTGGGCCTGCATGTGTGGCCCATCCTGGCATCCGAATGCTGCACAGCTGGTCCTCCGGGCAGCAAGCGCCGAAGGCTAATGAACACACAGCTGTGGTGGACAGCTCCCACTAACAGCCCTGCAGGCTGCCTCCCCGGTTTCCCTGATGGAGAAAATGCACCTCCAGAGACTGGACAGACACTGGCGGCCTTGTGCAGGACTGCCAAGTGGGCCTCTTGACTCCCACAGAGCCTGGGACCAGTGCCTTCTGGAACATTCCACTGGTGGATGTACCTCCTGCGAACACTTGCTGGATCTTGGGAGATACATGCCTGTGTTCACATCCCAATGTTGCCATTTGCTAGTCACAGGACCCTAGGACAGTGACTTAATCTCTTTGTGTCACAGTTTCCCCTTGTGGTCTAAATGGGGACAAGAATGTGGGTGCCTAGTAGGGCGGCTGTGAGGGTGCAGGGAGTTTATGGATGGAGGGTGCTCAGGGCATTGCCTGCAGAGTGAGTGCCTCAGAAGCGCTTGCTGTCTTTATGGCCTGGGCTCCCTGATCCCTCAGGGAAAGCAGAAGCCCATGGCTTTCTCTAAGAACTGCGAGACAGAAATGGCTTGGTTTGTACTTTGAGTTGACTAGATCCCAGAGAGAAGGGAAGGTCTGGATCTCTTGTGATCCGTCCTTAGAACTCTTCTGGCCCCCAGAAGCATGCTGGGAGGGGCAGTCAGGCCATGTCCCTGGTGATCTGTATGGGCTCAGTCAGGTCAAGACCACCTGCCCTGGGAAAACTGCCAGGGCCATCAGCAGGCAGACCTTACACTCCAGGAAACAGGACACACACGGATCCATGGTCACCAGGGCATCTCCCGTCGAATGGGAGACCCGCTCCCCGCTGGCCTCTCATGAGGACTCACAGACATGCAGAGGCAACACACAGCAGGCACTGACTTTGGTACTAACTTTCCAGTTCAAAAGCCCTTTGGCCTCCGAGATCAGTCCTTAGAAAGCCTTTACCGAGGCACTTTGTTCTCTCTGGACACTGGAGGGGCCCGCTTTCCTGAGGACTGCCCTGGACCTCTTATTTCATCTGGGAAACTTCCCTGCCGGCCGTGTGGAGCCCAGTGCTCAACAGCTGCATTGTCCTTATTCACAATCTATCTCTGTCTCCAAAGGGGAGCAGATGTGGCGCTTGCTGAGTGGAAAGGCACACAAAGGGCCCCTTCTGCATAGGCCATGTCATGGAGGTGGGGCCCTCTCCCGCATGCCAAGGGCATAGGGTCCATCGCCACACTCAGGCGCTCCCACCCCGCTGGCCAGGACTTGTGGAGACAGTACCTCATAAAAAACCATGGAGCTGCCCAGCTGGCAGAGCCTGCAAGTTCCCATACATTTACATCACCCAGTGGAGCTTTGTTGTGGCTCTGACACAAGAAAATTAAGACAAGCCTTCTCAGAAAATCCCATGTTTCTTGATTCTGCCTTCAGGTCAGCCTCTGTAGCCCATTGCTTTCCAAGGTCTGTCCCCTCCGGCCTCTTGTCCCAGTGTGGCGCCAGGCACTGGCACTCTCACAGGCTCCACAACTGTTCCCCTTGATTGGAAGTTTACCCTGTGTCAGGCACCAGGCTAACGTATCGAAATGGCCCCGATTTCTCCCTATAAAAACCCTGCAGGAACAATATGACTATTCGTTTTGCTTTTTGTCATAGATGGGAAATCAAAGCATGGAGAAGTTAAATAAATTGCCCAAGGTCACACATATCTAGTAGGTGGGAGAGGCTGGATTTGAAATTACGTCTGTCTGACCTAATAAATGCGCTCAACAGCAAATACTAATATTAGTTAACATTTAATGAGTGCTTATGCCTAGCAGCACTGTTCTAAGTATTTTACGCGGTTTTTTTTTTTTGGGGGGGATAAAGTTTTGCTCTTGTTGCCTAGGCTGGAGTGCAATGGTGCAATCTCAGCTGACTGCAACCTCCGTCTCCTAGGTTCAAGCAATTCTCCTGCCTCAGCTTCCCGAGTAGCTGGGATTACAGGTGCCCGCCACCACACCCAGCTAATTTTTTGTATTTTTAGTAGATATGGGGTTTCACCATGTTGGCCAGGCTGGTATTGAATTCCTGACCTCAGGTGATCCGCCTGCCTCAGCCTCCCAAAGTGCTGGGATTACAGTGTGAGCCACAATGCCCGCCTATTCCTATTAATTCTTTTAATCCTTGAAACCCAAGTTGGGTAGGCCGATAGTATTAATAGTCACATTCTATGGATGATGAACCTGATGGACCATCAGGAAACCCCAGGGGCTCCAGAAATGACTGGTTGTTAGTGAGCCCGCCAGCGCGTGTGAGTGGACCCCACCCTCCATCAGCCCCCCCACCCCTAGGGTACACTCACGGCTGCAGGTTTTGCCGTTGGGGTCCAGAGTGTAGCCACGGCGGCAGCGGCAGTAGTAGCTCTCCTCCGTGTTGACGCACTCGTGCTCACAGCCTGGTTTGTTCAGTGCACAGTAGTTGATCCCTGAGGGGAAGAAGGGCAGACCCTCCTTCAGACTCTGGGCTTCTCCCAGGGCTGACAGCAGCCGCTCCGGGCTTCCACACACCCCCATGGAGAGGGCTGGTGGGTGCCAACTGCTGAGGTGAGCTGGGACAGATCATTCGTCTGCCAACCAAGTGCCAGGCCTTGAGCTAGATGCAGGGGTTTAATGACGACTAAGATGGAGGCCTTGCCTCAAGGGATTCAGGCTCTGGTGAGGAGTCAGGCAAGGACAGCAACTGTAAGACAATGCAGAGCACAGAGCAGGGGCCTCACTGAGTCCCGGGGTGAGAGCGTCTTCCAAGAAGAGATGAGGCCAACTGGAGGCCCCAGGGAGGAGGAGGAGTTCCATAAGTAAGGGAGCTCCACAGGAAGGAGAATGTGAGGACTCAAGGATAGCAAACACAAACGCCTGAGGGTGAGGGGACAAAAAACACAAGTGCTTGGGGACGAGGGGACAGTGAACGTGAATGCCCGGGGACGAGGGGACTGTGAACGCAAACGCCTGGGGGCGAGGGGACCGTGAACGCGAATGCCCAGAGACGAGGGGACCGTGAACGTGAACGCCCCGGGACGAGGGGACAGTGAACGCAAACGCCCCGGGATGAGGGGACAGTGAACACAAATGCCCGGGGATGAGGGCGAGAGGCATGCCTGGGGAGTTGTGAGGAGCTGAGTATGGCTGGAGCATGGGAGAGAGATGAGGCTGGGAGGCAGAGGGAGCTGGCCCACCTGAGCATGGCTGGTCGTGTGGGCTTTGCAAGCCCCAGGATGGATCAGTGAAGGCTCTAAACGGGTGACTGGAGGTGAGGATTTTGGTGGAGGTGACAAGGCCAGAGTTATGTCTTGAAGAAGACTTTGCAGTAGAGGTGGAAAGGCCGGCAAACTACACTAAATCTTCAGGAAACCAGGTGAGCTATAGGATGCAGAGAAAACAGCTCCTGCTCTGCCGGAGCTTGCTTAAAAGAGAGCCTGGCACCTGAAGTATACCTGTGGATTCTCTAGCATTTTCCCTCTTTGATGGCCAAAGAGCAAGCCAAGGCTCAGTTGAGCTGAGCTGAACTGAGTCAATGGCCAAAGAGCTGAGAGCTGGGGTGAGGGCCACACTCCCCAGCCTACCTCCTTCCAAGAAAGATGGAGAAACTAAGAAAATCGTCTCTCTCTCAAATTAACCTGATCACTAGGGCTCAAAGCACGTAGAGAGTTCTGTCTACAGTGACATCTGATGGTGACATTGGATGGCACGAGGCAGAATAAACAAAAGGTGATCTTGCAAAATATCCAGTTATTTAGGGAGGGAGGAGTTGGTAGTTTCATGAAGAAGGGTCCAAATGCTTCACCTTTGTCTGTTGAGATCACGCTGGCATCCTATCATGGGACTGGAGGAGGCGCATCTCTGATGCTGCCCCAGACTACTGCAATTCTGTCCTATGGTATGGTCACTCTATCCATGCTGTGTTTCTGCCAGCAGATGGAAACTGTCATAACCAGCAAATAAGCAATTCCTTTCCTCGTAGAAAATGCTAAAGCCGTAAGACCCCATACACAGCAGGCTCCAGGGGAGACGGAGAACTGGAAAAGGACACAAAATGAACTTGTGGAGAGCCTTTATGAGACTGGCGTTGCAGGAAAAGGTCACCACCGACCTCACTGGATGGGCTGGATCAGTTTAACTGCACAGCATTGTTCTTTCTCTGGGGATGTGGCAGACACTGTTGGTTGTCTTGCCAATAACCATTACCCCATGACCCCTAAGCATGAGTCATGGCTGGTCTGAGCCAGCGTGGCAACCATGTTGTTCTTTGTCAGTTATTGGTCAAGGGGTGAGAATATGCCCTAGTTCTGACCAATGAAACAAAAGAAGTTTACTGGGGGCCCTCAAGAAAAATTTTTCTTCCTGAAAAGACAAAGGTGGCCAGGAGCAGTGGCTTGTGCCTGTAATCCCAGCACATTGGAAGGCCAAGGTGGGCAGATCACTTGAGGTCAGGAGTTCGAGACCAGCCTGGCTAACATGGTGAAACCCCACCTCTACTAAAAACAAACAAACAAAAACAAAATTAGCTAGGCATGGGGGCACGCGCCTGCAATCCCGCTACTTGGGAGGCTGAGGCACGAGAATCGCTTGATCCCAGGAGGCAGAGGCTGCTATGAGCCGAGATTGTGCCACTGCACTCCAGCCTGAGACTCTGTCTCAAAAAAAAAAAAAAAAAACGTGTATGAAGAGAAACACTTTTCTCTGTCCTCTGTCCTTTCTGCCTTTGAGTCTACTAGTGTGAGGATATGATGCTGGGAGCTGCAGCAACCATCTTGTAACCAAGAGGTGACAAGGATGAAGATGAAAATGCAACATGCTTTGCCAGAATAGAAAGAAAGAGTCTGGATTCTTGATAACATCACTGAGTCACTGAGCCATCCAAAGGACCAACCACCTTTGGACTTGTTAGGTACAAAATAAATGTCCTTAAGACACCATTAATTGGATTTCCTGTTCTGTGTGAACAAAAAACACTATAACTGATACAGGGAAAATGATCTGAAATCACAAAGTAATGAATACATTTTATTCTTACCATGTATCTGCCCAAAAGTTATTTGACGAAGTTCACATCCACAAATCACTTGAAGATATGACATGTTACCCTCTTGCCTCAGTGGCTCCTCGCTGCACTGGCTAACCTCTATCTTCCTTCACAGTCAGCTCAGCGTCATTTGGTCATCCTTTGTGACCTCCCAAATGAAGTCAGTTCTTTCTACAGGACCTCTCTTTCATAGCATTCATCACAATGGTTACGTAGTATATTTTGTATCTGTGATGGTTCAAAGTCTGTTTCTTTCACTAGACTGAGTTTCACAAGCAGGGACCATGCCATCTTTATTTTTCTCACTATTAGTGGCAATTTGATAGTAACTTTAGTAATGATAATCATAGCTGCTGCCATTTGTTAAACACCTGCTAAATGCCAGATGCTGTGCCAACCACTTTACAAACATAACTTCATTTGACCCTGCAAGATATGTGTGATTATTATGCATATTTCAAAGCTGAGAAATTGAGGTATAGTGAGGTTAATAACTTGATCAAGACCCACTGCTAGTAAAAATGGAGATGTGAGTGGGACCCAGACCTGAGGGACCTCTCAAAGGGTCTGTTAAAGGATCCGGCTGGACACGGTGGCTCATGCCTGTAATCCCAGCACTTTGGGAGGCCAAGGTGTGGATCACTTGAGGTCAGGAGTTCTAGACCTGCCTGGCCAACATGGTGAAATCCCGCCTCTATTAACAATACAAAAATCAGCCAGGTATGGTGGTACACATCTGTAGTCCCAGCTACTCAGGAAGCAGAGGTGAGAGGATCACTTGAACCCAGGAGATGGAGGTTGCAGTGAGCCAAGAACACACCATCGTACTCCAGCCTGGGTGATAGAGCGAGATTCCACCTTAAAAAAAAATTAAAAAAAAAAAAAGAATCTGTGAGGTGCCCTCCCAGGTGACTGGTGGCTGGAGCTTGCTTCATGCCTGGAGTATGAGCAGAATGGCTGCAGACAGAGTGCATGGGGAGAAGGCTACAACACACATGGATGGCCTAGAAGAAGAGATATCACCTTGCTGGGTCACTGACCCTTGGCGCTCTCTCTCTAGAACCCACTCCCATGTGAGGAGAGGCAAGATATTGTTAGCTGTGTAAAGTTTCCATTCACCTACCTGACTCAGCAGCAGCCTCACCTGTGCAGGCCATAACTGAGTGCCAGGAAACAAGCCAAGAGCTTCGATGGAGAAAAATGAGATGAAACACCAGCCACAGACAGACAGACAAACACAGAACATGAAGGCCCGCAGTCTGGGGCCTGTAGGAATCACTCCATTACACCATCAGGGAAAGGGGAAATGATCTTTAGTCAACTCTCTCTTTAAAACCCGGCATTCAGCCACTGTGGAAAACAGCATGGCGGTTCCTCAAAAAATTAAATCTAGAATTAACCATATGATCTAGCAATTCCACTTCTGGGTATACACATCCAAGTTCACAGCTGTATTAATAAACAAAAGCCAACAGGTGGAAGCAACCCAGGGGTCTGTCACAGGACGAGTGGATAAACAAAGGACGATGTATAGATACAATGGAATCTTATTCAGCCTTAAAAAGGAAGGAAATTCTGACATGTCCTACAACTGAATGAACCTTGAAGACATTATGTCAAGCTATATAAGCTGGTTACAAAAGGACAAACATTCTATGATTCCACTTATATGACGCATCTAGAATAGTCAAATTCATAGACAAAAAGTAGATTGGTGGCTGCCAGGAGATGGAGGAGGAGGAGCTGGGGAATTACTGTTTAATGGGTATAGAGTTTTAGTTTGGGATGATGAAGAAGTTCTGAAGATTGAAGGTGGTGATGGTTACACAGTAACGTGCATGTGCTTAATACCACTGGACTATGTACTTAAAAATGGTTAAAATGGTACATTTTATGTTATATATATTTGGCCACAATAAAAAAGCCAATGTTGTCTTTAAGAAAAATTTATATTTACATATTTCAAAACAACATATTGTACACAATAAAAGTATACCATTTTTGTCAATTTTTTAAAAATAAATGCCAAAAAGATGTACAACTGTGTTGTATCAATTTTAAAAATATAAAAAGGAGTGCTCAGTTCGGCAGCACATATAATAAAAATATAAAAAGAAAAACATTTTTAAAAAATTAAAATAAATTAGTAAACAATGTTTCAAGCAAGATTTTTTTTTTTTAAAGAATGATTTACACATGAGGCAATTCAACTGAAAAACATTTAGATTCTTAAAGAGGTTATCACCCAGCAATCTGGCCCACAGCAATTCAAATACCACCCTTTTTGGCTGGGTGTGGTGGCTCAGGCCTGTAATCCCAGCACTTTGGGAGACTGAGGTGGGTGGATCACTTGAGTCCAGGAGTTTGAGACCAGCCTGGACAACATGGTGAAACCCCATCTCTACTAAAAATACAAAAACTAGTCAGGCATGATGGTGCACGCCTGTAGTCCCAGCTACTCGGGAGGCCAAAGTGACACAATCACCCGAGCCTGGGAGACAGAGGTTGTAGTGAGCCAAGACTGCTCCACTGCACTCCAGCCTGGGCAATAGAAGGAGATTGTGTCTGGAAAAAAACAAAACAAAAAAAAACCCCTCTCCAAATGGTTCTTTTTAGCAGAGGTTTAACGGTGGCTCTTTGCCTTCTCACCATCCTTTTGTCATATTTCCTCATGTGTGTGCTTCTTAGATATTCACTCACTCACTTATTCATTCACTAAATATTTATTGAGGACCTACTGTGCATCCTGTATCTGGTACCACGATAGGTGCTCTGATGTGGCACCCACAGGTCAGGAGGGACACAACTTAATCTGGTAAGGCCCAAAGTGTCCACTAAAGCTCTGTGAGGTCAGATGACAGGACTGTCAGCAAACAAACCAAACGATCTTTCTGAGTGCTAACTTGTGAAAGAGTTGGAGGCCTGAGGAGGTAAGACTGAAACCATGAAAGATCCCCAGGCAGTACATTTTGATACCAACAGAGTGCACAGATAATAAGTTTCAAAAAAACTGGAGAGGCAACAGGGTGTTAAGGCAGGAAGTCCTGTTCCTACAGTTTAGGAAATCCAGGTCCTGAGAAGTAGAAAGTAGCTGCTCAGGGACACATAACCAATATGAGTGACATTGCCAAGCCTGGACGTCACGTCTCTTGGCTCAGTCAAACCCGTGGGCTTCACACCGATTCTTGAGAGTACTCATCATGGTACCAGAATCAGGGATCCTGGAGTCCAGCACAGGGGATGAACCACATCTGATTTGGCCCTAGGGCTCTACCCGGGCAGGAAGGGCAGTCACAGTTTCTGTGCTTTGCACTGTTGCCTTAATAATTCATGCCGTAAACTGATGACAGCACTCTCCAGGAGGAGAAATTGTGCCCAGATGAGGAGCAAGAACAAATCTTGGCCAAGAGTCTTTTCTTCAGTAGGATTCTGCCTTGATCTTTTTTCCCCCAGTTTAATTTGGATGACATCAAATTCCTTTAAAAGCAGATTTCATATTAGATTTGAAAATTGCCCACATCCATCAACCTACTATTAAATGTAAATGGCTGTACCCTGGGCTGCAGATTTGTAATGCTCAGATCACTCAAGAGACCTCAGGCTTCTAATAACGGACTCCAGATTTTGAAGCCCAATTTCTTGGCTTCCCTCATCCACATAATGCTCCAGAGAGACAGTGAGCACTCGCTTCCGTTTACAGCTGTCTTGCCCTAATGGACTGAGTGCAAGCATGAAGTCAGGGGCGGCTCCTGCAGGCTGACCTCAGGAGTCAGGGTTGGGTTCACAGCAAAGACAATGGAAAATGTAACGATGAGGCAGGACACTGGGTGAGGGCTGATGAGGACACGAGCCTTTAGGAACAAATTTCGTTTTTCTTGGATGAAAAAGTAGGGTGCCTGGCTAAAGAGGTGCTATACCCACTGAATATACATGGATGAGCATTAGGGACTCTGGTCTGGGCCACAGCTAGCTTGCAAACAGGCCCACCTGGGGACCAATCTGTAGCGCTCAGACCACTCCCAAATGGTCACTCCCTCTCTACTCGCCCTTCCATTCTCAATCTTCTTCTTCCCATGCATGCCTGCGTTGCACTGGACCTCCTCTTATTCCAAGTGCCTCTCCAGGAAGGGTGTGGAGGGAGTAGCAGAAGTCGAGGGACTCAGACAATTGGTAAGAGATGCAGAACGTCAAGAAAATGTCCTCCGCCCATAGCCCCAGGCCTGACTTGTTTCCTTTTTCCCCCTCCATTAGTAACACATGAGGAAGCTTGCACTGAGCATCTGAGCTGAACCAGATCGAATCACCACCCACAGAAGAGCTTTGGGTCTGCAAATGTGAGTCCACCTGGGAGTGATTTCCCCTGGGTGCAGTCAGTCCCTCACACACCCACTCCTAGCAAAAGGTGTAAATAGCACAGAGTGGCCAGACCAGAAAAGTTGGCCCTCTGACCTATTGCAGGCATGTGTGGTCTTATGGAAAATAGCTTATCTAATTGTTTTCACATCTGAATGCTCTCCATTAAAATTTTCATTTAATGCTTGAATGTGTCCAGGGTTTGTACCCTCACAAGGCAGTGGGAATAGTTTTATAAGAGAGGCTCCGTTTCAAAATCCGGGATTTGCAACCATCTGCCACTATACACAGTTTAACACTTGCTAGAATGAGTATAAAAGTTAATCTGTGCTATGAGCAGAATGTGACTCATCTGGATTCAGTGAAACAGCTCATGGCGCTTTTCAAAAGAGATAGATGTGAAACCTTCGAAAACACAGTCTTGCCATGCAGAACACTGCTGCACACACCATCAGGAAGAAATGGGTGAAGGAGCATACAGAAAATTACATCCCTCAATGGACACTCCAGAGAGTTCTATGAATGACATTGTCAGCAGACCCCAAACAATTCAGTGTGCATAAGTGTGGACTGACTAGGGAAAGATTTCCTGAAAAAAAAATCCACAACTTGCACGCCTAAAGAAGGCTATCTTTCTAACGAGATTGAAGAATTAAAAAAAAAAAAATACCCACAATTTCTCCAGGATGATACACCGTAGAAAGATTCACTTACTCATTCCCATTCAGCAAACATTGTGCACATCTGTGAATGCCAAGTACTCTTTGAGCTTTTGAGAATTCAGCAGTGAGAAAAAGATAATCGCCTCTGTCCTTGTGGGCTGTCCATTCTAGCAGTCTCTCAGGAATGGTTTGTCTTAAACAGGTGTCCTCTAGGGCCTGTGCTCAGATCCCCAATCATGCCCCTTGATTTGCCAGATGACAGGCATTTGAGGCACTCAGCACATCCTCAATATCATCCCACTGACACCCTGTACCCCTTGAATCCTGCTGGGATGTTCTAGAGACTCATTTTTCTTCTCCTTTCCTATTGAAGGGAATAAAGCTGCAATGTCCTCCCTCTTAGCATCCATCAAGTGTCTTATCTTGTAGGACTAGAAGAAACCAGCTCCTTCTACCTCTCATCTCTGGGCCCATTCTTTTCTTTTTCCCAGATCCCAGTGCTACGGGAATAAGGGGGAGGGAGAATGCACCTGCATTTCACATAGGTGGGAGCTTCAGCTTGGGTCCCCACTTGGCTAATTGAATCTAATGACCAGACCTATTCAATATCTAAAAATCATCCACATAATAGGATCTAGTGAAAAAGTAAAGTAAAGGGCAGAATAATGTTAATAGAAACAATGCTGAATACAAGTACATCTTGCTTAAGATTTGCACGGAAAGGAAAACTAACTAGAGGAGCATTTAGCAGAACAAGCCCTTCTCCAGCTCCCACTGTAACTTACTTCTGCAGGTTTTCTTATCTGGATTCAGGGTAAAGCCTTTCAGGCAGCGGCAGGAATAGGAATCATCTGTGTTAACACACTCATGCTGACATCCGTGATTAGATGAGGCACAGTAGTCTATCTCTGGCAAGAAGGAAAAATCACAAGAATGGCAAACCAATCAATACAGCTAGCATATGAAAACCAGGGATTTCCAGTCTTCATTTTCCTAAACAGGTAAAATCCCACACCTCACAGAGTCACACTATGAAGGGGTCTCCCAATAAAGCTACTTCCATGTTTAGAGATATGGCCTCTCCTAAGAGAAACTTCTTCTCCTTCTTTCCTTCTCCTTCTTCTTCTCCTCTTCCCTCCTTCCCCTCCTCCCCCTTCTCCCTCCTCTTTCCCTTCTCCCTCCTCCCTCTTCCCTCCTCCCTCCCTCCTCCTCTTCTTTTCCTCCTTCCTTCCTTTCTCTTTTCCTTCCTTCCTTCCTTCCTTCCTTCCTTCCTTTCTTCCTTCCTCCTCCTCCTCCTCCTCCTCCTCCTTCTTCTTCTATTATTATTATTGTTATTATACCGGGACTCTTCTGCTAGGCAAAGACAAACTTCCTGACATATTAAAAAACGTTTATGCAACCAACAAATTTGTGAACACGCTGTCTTTGTCTTGATTCATGTAAAAGCCACTAAAATGAAAATGGGGTATTTGCCAGACTGTAGGCTGAGAATGGTTTAGCTGAGTGTTTTACCGAATTTAAGCAATTAAAACAATTAAACGTTCCCAAAGCCAAACTCCAAACCACTTATACCCATCAAACAGTGAGCCAAACAATAAGACACAAACTCATATCCTGGGAAAAATAAGGCCTAGGAGTGAAAAGCATAAATACTCTGAGTTCAAAACACCTCCTGGTTACTTTACTGGGCTCGGCTGCACATAAACAGGATCTTTACCTCAAGATTCACAGAGAATGTGACCTCTAGGGATACACTAATTTAAACCAAAATATTTTTTTAAAAAAGTATTTCATGAAATTTGTCATAAAGAAATTTTACTTGTGTATTTTTTGTGTTTTTGTTCTTTATTTTTTATTTCTTTTTTTTCGTATTTTTTTGTATAAGTATTTTTAAATATGGAAATAAACTTTTATTGCGGAATTTGAGCAAAGTATTTTCCCATAGTGGAACTTGAACACATTGTTTAAAATTGCTTAAAATAAAGACCACTGATGGAATCTTAAAAGGAGTCTTTGTTTTGATGAGGGCTTTTATTATTTTAAGGAACATTTGAACTGCATAAATAATCTTCCTAATAAATAATTTGGTATAAATGAGAGTTCCCAATCCATACCAGAGGAAACAAACTGAGTAAGGGAAAGATATACAATATTCTTGAAAGGAAAAAATGTTGAGTAAGATGCCAATTTTTCCCAATTTAAACTTATGGAAACGTTAAGCAAAATATACAATCATGTCCAATTTCAAAAATGGACTGAGTAGTATAATAAATCCACGTACATATCACCCAGCTTCAGGAGAATCAATCTATGGCTGCTCTGCTTTCAACTACGTTCCAACTCTCTATAGTAAGATCCCACATTACTTTGAAGCAAACCCCAGACATTATATTGTTGTTATTATTATTATTATTATTGATTTGTTTTGAGACAGGAGTCTCCGCTCTGTTGCCAGGCTGGACGTGCAGTGGTGCAGTCTAGGCTCACTTGCAACCTCCGCTGCCCGGGTTCAAGCAATTCTCTTGCTTCAGCTTCCCGAGTAGCTGGAGTTTACCTGGTGCGTGCCACCATGCTGACTAATTTTTTTTTTTTTTTTTTGAGGTGGAGTCTCACTCTAACACCCAGCTGGAGTGCAGTGGCGCAATCTTGGCCTCATTGCAACCTCTGCCGCCCTGGGTTTCAGGCAATCCTACTGCCTCAGCCTCCTCAAGTAGCTGGGATTACCAGGTGCCTGCCACCATTGCCCAGCTAATTTTTGTATTTTTAGTGGAGATGGGGTTTCACCATCTTGGCCAGGCTAGTCTAGAACTCCTGACTTCGTGATCCACCTGCCTCAGACTTCCAAAGTGCTGGGATTACAGGAGTGAGCCACCACACCTGGCCCAGACATTGTATTGTTTTGTCCATAAATGCTTCATAATGTAGCTTTAAAACACTGGGAGTCTTTATAAACAATATAATTGCAATACCATAGTCATATATAAAGGCATTTAAAAAATCTTTCCCTTTTAAAACAATTTCAAGCTTACAAAAAGTTATAAACATAAAAATAGTACAAGAAACACTTGAATCTTTACCCAGATTCACCTTTGTTAACATTTTACCCTATTCTTGTGATTACTTGGTCATCTCTCTGACCTATGTGAGGGTACATCATATACATTCTGGTCCTTTCCCTTAAAAACAGTCTGTGTTTCCTAAGAGGAGGGATATTCTCTTATATAACTGCAGTATGGTTATAAATTTCATAAGTTTACATTGATACAATACTTACATTTAATCTACCATCCATATTCTAATCTTGTCAGTTGACTTAATTATGTTCATCAGAGCATTTTTCACCTTCCAGTACAGGATCTAGTCTAGAGTCAGAGACTGTATTTTGTTTTCGTATCTGCTTAGTCTCCCTTAATCTAGAACCATGCTGCCTAATATGTCTATTTAAATTAAAATTGATTAAAATGAAATAACAATAAAAATTCAGCCGGGGTGGTGGCTCATGCTTGTAATCCCAGCGCTTTGTGAAGCTGAGGCTGGAGGATTGCTTGAACCCAGAAATTTAAGACCAGCCTGAGCAACACAGCAAAACCCCATTTCTAAAAAAGAATTTTTTTTTTTTTTGAGATGGAGTCTTGCTCTGTTGCCCAGGATGGAGTGCAGTGCCACAATCTCAACTCTCTGCAACCTCTGCCTCCCGGGTTCAAGCAATTCTCCTGCCTCAGCCTCCTGAGTAGCTGGGACTACAGGCGCACGCCACCACGCCCAGCTAATTTTTTGTAATTTAGTAGAGACAGGGTTTCACTGTGTTGCCCAGGCTGTTCTCGAACTCCTGAACTCAGGCAACCCACCCGCCTCAGCCTCCCAAAGTGCTAGGATTACAGGCATGAGCCACTGCATCCGGCAAAAAAAGAATTTTTTTAAGTTAGCTGAGCATGGTGGCACCTGCCTATAGTCCCAGTTACAAGGGAGGCTGAGGCCAGAGGATCTTATGAGCCCAGGAGTTGGTGATTGCAGTGAGCTATGAGCTATGACTGTACCACTGCACTCCAGCCTGGGCAACAAAGCAAGAGCCTGTCTCTAACAACAACAACAACAAAAAAAAGAAACAAAAATTCAGTTGCTGGGTTGCACTGGCTGTATCTCAAGTGCTCAATGGCCACATATGGCTCCTGACTACTGTATTGTCTGATGCAAACAGAGCATTCCAACCACCAGAGTGTCCCACTGGATAGTGATGGGCCAGAACATTTCCACAGCCTCTCTTTGTGTTTTATGGCATAGCAATTTTGGAATAATACAGTCTCTTCTACTTGTTTTTAGTTTTTATGAGGTATAATGGACAAAAACCAAACTGCACATACTCAAGAAAAACAATCTGATGCATTTTGCATATGTAACCTGCCATGAAACCATCGCCACAATCAAAATAATAAGCACATGCATTACTCTCAAAACTTTCCTCCTGCCCCTTTCTAATTCATTCTTCCCCACTCTCTCCAGTCCCAAATAACCATTTATCTTCTATCCAGATAAATCAGTTTGCATTTTCTAGAATTTTATTTTTATCTTCTTTTTTTATCTCCCTGTGGAATTTTAAATAAATGTAATCATATAGTATGTATTCTTTTTGGTCTGGTTTCTTTCATTCAGCATAATTATTTTGAGATTCATCTATATTCATATGTGTGTCAATAGTTTGTTCCTTTTTATTGCAGAGTAGTATTTCACTATGTGATTATAACACAATTTGTTTATCCATTCACTTGCTGAAGGGCTGTTTACCTGTTTCCAGTTTGGGGCTATCACAAATAAAGCAGCCATGAACATTAATGTGCAAGTTTTTGTGTGTACATACGCTTTCATTCCTCTTGCATAATGGCTGAGTCATATGGGACATGTACGCTTAACTGCTTAAACATTCCCACCAGCAATTTATGAGAGTGCCAGTTGCTCCGTATCCTCATCAACACTTGGTAATTTTAGTCATTTTAGTGGGTATGATTATCTCAATATGACTTCACTTTGTATTTACCTAATGACTAATGTTGTTGAATATATTTTCAAATGCTTCTCTGCCATCTCCATATATTCTTTGGTGAAGTGTCTATTCAAATATTTTGCCCATTTTTATTGAGAGGCTTGTTTTTTTGTTTGTTTGTTTGTTTTGACAGAGTCTTGCTCTGTCACCCAGGCTGGAATGCAGTGGCGCAATCTCAGCTCACTGAAACCTCTGCCTCCTGGGTTCAAGCAATTCCCCTGCCTCAGCTTCCGAAGTAGCTGGGATTACAGGCACCTGCCACCATGCCTGGCTAATTTTTGTATTTTTAGTAGAGACAACGTTTCACCACATTGGCCAGGCTTGTCTCAAACTCCTGACCTCAAGTGATCCGCCCGCTTTGGTCTCCCATTGTGCTGGGATTACAGGCATAAGCCACCGCGCCCAGCCTGAAAGATATTTTTTAAATTTCATATTTTGATTGTCCATTGTAAGTATATAAAATTAACTTATTTTTGTATATTAATTTTGTGTCCTGCAACCTTGATAAATTCACTTGCTATTAAAAGTTCTAGTAGCTTTTTTGTAGATTCCACTGGATTTTCTACATAGGTGATCATGTTATCTGTTAATAAAGATGGTTTTTTTTTTACAATCTAGGTATCATTTATTTATCTTTCTCTGTCTTATTGCACCGGCTAGAACTTCCAGTACAATATTAAATAGAAGTGGTATGAGTGGACATTGTTTTATTCCTGATGTGAAAAGAAATTTTATTCCTGAAAGAAAAAGAAAATTTATTCCTGAAAGAAAGCACTGTCTTTCACTACTAAGTATGATGTTAGCTGATGGTTTTTTCACTGATGTACTTTATCAGATTGAGGCAGTTACCTTCATTCCTAATTTGCTGAA